GAGATTTTCCCCTCTTTTTGACCCGCTTTTGGCCTGTGTGGGATTAATTGAGAAATCCTGGCCCAATGTCTCTGTAAGGATGCTGAAATCTTCCTTTATACAGTCAGAGAGACTTTGAAACCTACATAGAGGAGCCTGAACCTTCAATTGACCATCTTGAGTTACAACCAGCCCTTGTGAATGAATTGAGTTTGTAAGTCAAGAATCCACTGGAATTATAAAATGCCATATAAAACTTTTAAAGGCTATTAATCTGTGGAATCCATGTATGAAAGTTCAAATACAGATGTCAGTGAATTAACATTATTTGTTCTGTTCCCTACTACGGGCAAGGCACTGTGTGAGGTGTACAATATAAATCAGGGCCATAAACTGACAAGTTACCAGATCATATAAAGCTTATAGACTATGGAATATAAAAAGGTAAATGGACAATTGTATGGAGTGCAAAACAGGAAATGAATAATATCTGAAGCAATGTAGTTGAAATTTTGCCTCGTGGGGTAGGAAATAATGAGAGAAGCCAGTTAGCTTTAGAAAAAGCATAAAGAAATGGCCATTGAAGTGTAGAGCAGTTAACAGAATAAGGAGAATAAAAGACTGAATTTCAATATTAAAATGGAGCAGTTCTTGGAACTGATTAAATCAAAAGTAGTCACAGGGAGAGAATCGGAGACAGGATGAAGCCAAGATCACTGAACAGATGGCTTGATCATCTCCCAGGAAATGCTGGTGCAGGTGAGCAAGGTGCCTGGACTTTATTCCAGAGGATGAGAGGGAAACAGTAGCTTCTACTGAGTAAATAGAGATTAAGGGGCTTTTTATTCTCTGAAAGGAATAGGCCAAGGTTGGAATTTTCCTTTTGAAGTATACATAAACATATATGCACACATGCATCTGTTTAAACTGTAGGAATAAATGATAATAATAGAATAATAAAATAAGGATAAGGCTTTAGCATTTCTAAGGGTTTTTTGGGGGGGTATTTTTGTATTTATTTATTTTGGTATCAGGATTAAGCCCAAGAACTTCAACTTGAGCTACTTTTAAATTTTTTTACTTTGACACATGGTCTTGCTAAGTCACTAGGTTGGTCACTAGGGTTATGACCCTTCTGCCATAGGGGAAGGGACAGAGACCAAGATATAATCCTCAAGTTTATAAGCCCATAATTCACTCCTTTCAAGTAGTCCCTACCTCCTAATAGCCCATACAGCAATGATGATAGTTCTCAAAACCTCATTACCTGACCTTTGGAAAACATTAAGGTCTGAAACATAACACACCATAAAGCCTCATTTTTCTAAATCTAAAATGGAGCTACTAATAGTACTTAGTGTGTTGGTATGAAATAAGGTAATGTATGAAAAGAATTTAGCTTGAAGTTTAATAATAACTTGTTATTGCTCTTTACATTTGAAACACACCAGGAATTTAGTACAAATTTATTAAATCTACTGTCTGAAGCAATCAGGACTATAGTATATAGATTAAAAATAGGAGAAGGTGTATACTATTTTGGAAAAGGAAGAGGAATAGGTTGAAGAAAAAATTTCTTAGACTCAGCATAGCTTGCTTGCTAGGCAGAAGCACTGGCCAATGAGAACCCTAAAGAGAGAGTCCACTCTGACTGCTCAGGATAAACTTGGGCAGCATTCGTGTACTGTATTTCCCTATATACTAAGTGGATTTACCTATATACTGTATCTGAAATGTTGTAACACAGGGAAATACTGAGTTACACTCTTAGTAATTCTGCCATTTTCTCAGACCTGAGGAAATGGATCCATGATTTCTTTTATTAGGTACACCTTTGAGATGTTTTTACAAAACTTTATTATTTCCACTCTGAAGAATACTATCTCAAAGCTCTACCCACAATGGGGGTTTCCCTCTAGTACCTACGGTATTTATTTACCCCTGAACACCTGACTACCCCAGCACTTTGTCTTTTTATATCTTTTTGTGTTTGCACAGCTATGCTAACCAAGCACCCTATTTACCCCCACTCACTGTTATATCCACATCACATCCCATTCAAATCCTACCGAACATTGAAGCTATGCACTAACTGCCTGTGTATTTTGTATCAGGGGTTGGCAAACTTTTTCTCTAAAGAGCCAGAGACTAAACAGTTGCAGCTTTGTAGGCCATTTGGTCTGTGTCTCAACTGCTCAATTCTGCCCTTATGGTACATATGCAGCCATGATAGCAGGCACAAAAATAAGAAGGCCTGGGCTCTGATAAACTGTATTTATGGACACTAGAATTGAAATCACATAATATCCATGGGTTATGCCATATTATCCCCTTTTTGAAGTTTCAAAGCCATTTAAAAACATAAAAACTCTCTTGGCTTCAAAACTAGCAGCAGGACATAGTGGATTTTTGCTTTGCTTTCTATGCAGACTGTGTTTCCTTTTCATGTTTTTTTTCTTTAATTGGGTATAACTTTCACTGAGTAACCTTCAGTACACCATTCTTTTTTTTTTTTTTTTTTGGAACTGGGGGATTGAATTTGGGACTTTGCGCTTGCAAAGCAGGCGGCAGAACCACTGAGCTAAATCCGTGGCTCAACCTTTCTTACTCTTAACCTCCTTTGTTTTTTAAATTTATTCTTTTATTTCAGGAGACACAAACTCAACACATTTGACATCTAGCAGGTTGTGTTACATTTTTCCTGTATCTGTGACACTGGGCAAAAGTGACATCAAGGGAGATGACCAATGGAAGAGAATGTGCAAAACCAAAGTAAATTGTATTTAAAGATTTAAGCCAGGTGTGGTAGTGCATGTCTGTAATCTCAGCACTTGAGGCGGGAGGATTGCCACAAGTTGGAGACCAGTCTGGGCTACACAGTGAGTTCAAGGCCAGTCTGAACTACACAACAGGACCCTTTCTCCGAAACCAAAAAAAAAGATTAAAAATTCTCTCACTCTCTATGCTGGGAATTGAACGAACCCAGGGGTTCACGCATACTAGGCAGGTGCTCTACGACTGAACTACATCTCTACCCCACTTAAAAATTTTTATTTTGAGGCAAGATTTTGCTATGTTGCCAGGCTGACCTGGAATTCGTGATCCTCGTGTCTCAACCTCCTGAGCAGCTGGGATTACAGGTGTGCACTGCCATCCATGCCTGACTGAAAATTCTTTACTACTTTTTACACCAACCAAATAAGCTAACTAAAAGAAAAATGAAAAAAGCCAAGAGGCCTCAGTCCCCACTGGGTTTGCAGAGTCTGTGGTAGAGGAAGGGGACCCAGTACCTACTTCCCTGCTGCAGGCCCCTTCCTCTGGGCTGCTGTGTGTCTAGAGTGACCCTAATGGCACCATGTGTCCCATTGCTCCCTGCCCTGACCGTTCAGCATCCACCCACAAGGTTCGGTTGATCAGCTGGATCCTCCAGCTCTGTAGCAGCTTCTCACATCTGCTCAGCTTTTACACCCACTAGAATGTCCACCGCTACAGCCTGACTGTGCTCTGGGCTCTGGGGTACGAAGGGGACCAGGAGGCTGGGGTGAGGGACAGACGTGGTCAGGTGGTGGTCCTGCACAGGGCCTGGCAGGGTACTGGGGCCATCGTGATGCTGGCCCTCCTCCCTCCTCTCCCAGCACTCTGTTCTCCTCTTCCCTGCTCACAGGCTCTTCGACTTGTGTTTGCGAATCTAGGCAATCAACTCACCCTTTCTTTCTCCTTTGCGCCTCCCTCCCTTTCCTCCCTTTCCTCTCCCCTGTCCTTCCCCTTCCCCTCCTCTTCCCCCTCTCCCCCCTCTCCTTCCTCTCCCCTTCCCTCCTTTACTTCCCAGTATTGGGGATTGAACTCAGGGCTTTTACACTGAGCTATATCCCAGCCCTTCACATTTATTTTTTTTCAAATTTTTTTTTTTTAAAGAGACAGGGTTTCTGCAAGTTACTAAGTTGCCCAGGCTGGGCTCTAATTTGTGATCTTCCAGACTCAGCCTCCCTGAGTCCTGAGATTACAGGCATGCATGCCAATACTTCTAATCTCAGGACTTGCCAGAGCAGCTGGGAAGAGCGCAAATGGCCTGAGACTTTGCCTCCCATGGGAGCTCCATTTGGTGCAGGGAAGTCTGCAGTTGCCAGAGAAGGGCTTGGCTAAAGAAGACCGCTCTTTCCTCTGGGTGCGGTGGACTGCCAGCTGGAGAGAGACATTGGCTTAAGTTTTAGACAGACGTGTGCAGTCAAAGCGTACATTTTTGTTCCTCATGTGTTGAGTCACGCTGTTCCCTAATTGAGCCCCCAGGCAGTGCTGTTGGCACAGGACAGCTTGGCTGATGTCCTGCCCCATCCTAATCTGCTTAATAGAGAAGAAGCTAGAGTTAATGGTCTTCACAGTTAAGCTCCTTAAGTTCCCTTTCTGGAATTCTTCCTCATGTTTTTGTAGTTTAAGGTGCCCCCACCCCTACCCAAAACACAGATACCCTGTCTCTGAACTCTTGTCTCCAACAAAAAGTACTAATCCTTTCCCTTAGTTACCAAGTGGGAAAAGGTTTCGCAAATTAATTTACCCAGAGGTGACAGTGGGGCTTAGTACATTACTTGTGGATTACTGTGCCCTTAAAACTGTGAAGGTCGAAACTAATTTACCTAAGAGGGAAATTGCTGAGAATGGAATCGAGGCACTTCCGGATGTGAATGGGGATGATTTCTTTGGGAGAGGGGCAGCATTGGGGGAGGGTGCTGCCTCACCCACTGCACTGGCGCCATCCAGGCCCTGGACTCTGTAGGGCACCAGGTATGGGCTCACAACTCGGTCAGTGTGGTGAAGAAGACTGTATGGGACAACTTGTGTTGCAAAACTCTGGGGACCCTGCTGGGTAAATGGCTTGTCCGATGCTGGCAACACCACCGGTATGGCCAGTACCATGTAAGCACGAGGCAGGCAGGTCATGGGGAGCCACTGAGGCCCCTGTTGAGCACCTGGGGACCATGGACTGGTGGAGGAGACTGACTGCTTGCTCTTCTTCCCTTCCTCAGACCTTTACTGCATGGTGCAACTCCCACCTCCGGAAGGCAGGGACACAGATTGAGAACATCGAGGAGGACTTCCGAGACGGCCTGAAGCTCATGCTGCTGCTAGAAGTCATCTCAGGTGAGGTGGCCGTGTCCCAGGACAAGCTGGGCTCTGGCCGTGGGTGTAGCTGAGTTAGGGTCTCCTGAACCAAGATGGGGAGGATGTAGGACTGGGAGACAAGCTCTTGCTCCTGCCTCCAACTATCTGGGTGTCTTAGACAAGTCACTTTGCTGCTCTGTCTCAACATCTTCAGCTACAAAAAGATAATGCTGGGATTCTGTTGCACAGGATGTAACCAGGGGGTGCCATCCCCAAACCAGGCGCTACTGTGCCTAGCTGCCATTATCCACAGGATCCCAGGCTGTCCAGGTGTCTGGAGGGACAGCTCCACTTGAATACAGAGCTTTCTTATGGGGACCCCTCCGCCACCATTCCTTAAAGGCTGGGCCCCCCAAGGGTCCAGCCTTGGTTTATATGCTGGGCAGTCTCAGTCACTCTCTTCAGCCAGCCCATCCTTCAGGCCACGGCCTTATTTTAGCCCATACCTCTCCTCTCCTCTAGGGCTCCCTTTTAAATACCAAGCCTAGCTGGGTATATAAATCCATTTTCTGTTGCTGTAACAAAATACCCAAAGCTGGGAACTTTATAAAGAGGAGAGGTTTAGCTGGGCATGGTGGTACCCACCTGTAACCTGAGCACTCAGGAGGCTGAGGTAGAAGGATTACCCTGGGTTGGAGGCCAGCCTGGGCCACACAGTGAGTTCAAGGCCAGCCTGAAGTACATAGTGAGGCCCTGTCTCCCCCCAAAAAGGGTTTTTATTTAGCTTATAGTTTGGAAGGTTGAAAGTCCAAGGTCAGGTGACCCCATCAATTTGGCAAGGTCTCCTTGGCTATATCATATGCCAGATAGCATCATGATAGGAGAAGTCACATGGTTCAGACAGGAGCCCCCAGAGCAGGGCAGGACCAGGCTTGCTCTTTTGTAACAGTTCTAACCAAGTCCCACAAGGACACGCCCCCACGACCTCACCAGGCCCCGCCTCTTAAAGGTCCTTCCAGCTCCTAACATCACTGTGTAAGTCCCATGCAAACACAGGCTTGGGCGTCTCTGTCAGGTGTCCCATAGTGGCCCCTTGGCATGTCCAGGACTGCACTCATCGTCCCTGGTCCTAGCAGACCTCCTTTCTCCTGCAGTCTTCATCTTCTCCTCACCTAATCTGGGGATTATACGCGACTCTGCTTCTGCTGTTCTTCCAGTTCTGCAGTCATGTTCAGTTCGTTCTGTTTCCTTCCTCAGGATCCTGATGTCAGCTGCTGTGGCATCATTGTGGTCCGTGGCAACTCCCATGCAGATGATACCCTGAAGGCCTTGGCCCATCCTCCCCGTCCCCACCTTCCATCCCTTACTCTGCAGCTGAGGGAGCATCCGCCAGCCCAAATATAGTCACACTGCTCCTTGCTCTAAGCCTTCCTTGCCTCCCCAGAACTCTGAGCCCGAGTCACATTCCTGGGTCACTCACAGGATTCTTGGTGAGCTGGCACTTGCTCTGTTTCCAGCTAACTATTCCCAAAAAGGTAGCAGACCTCAGGCCCTCTGCCACACCAGGAGACTCATTCTCCCCAGATGCATGAGCCCTGTCCCATGACAATAGTTCTTTTTTTGAAAATAATTTCCTATACATAATTTCCTTTTCAGGTAAAACCTGTGATTTTGTGTGTGTATATGGGTTTTGACTATATACAACACAAATTCACCATTTTAATGTGTGCATACTGTTCAGTGCACTACGTGCATTCACGTTGTTGTGCAGCCATCACCAACATCCCTCTCCACAAGTTTTTCATCAGCCCAAACTGGAATTCTGTCCTTTCTAAATGCAAATGCACCATTCTTTCCTCTGCACTGCGGGCACCGCCCCTGCCCCCCCCCTCCCCCCGCAACCACCATCTGTCTTCTGTCTGTGACTTTGACTACTTGAGTATCCTGTGGGAGGGGAATTGTGCAGTGCTTGCCTTTTTGTGACTGGCTGATTTCACAGGGTGGAAGGTCTTCAAGGTTTACTCAGGGAGTAGGAGGTGTCCTGCTTAAGGACAAGTCCTCTTCCATTGGGCGCATTGTCATGTATGTTTTATCCATTCCTCTGCTGGTGGTTTAGATTCTTTCTACTTTTTCTGTATTGTGAATAGTGCAGCTATGGACGAGAATATATAAATACATTTTTTTCTTGAGTCCTTGAATTGGTTATATACTCAGAAGTAGAATTGTTGGATCACATGATAACTGTGTGTTAAATTTTTAAGGAACCATTGTACTGTTCTGTTCTGCTGTTCAGAAGGTCCTTTCCTACCTCTTCCCAACGTTCCCCTGCTGAAACCATCCAACCTGGCTCTACTCTTCACTGTTTACGACTCAGCTTGGGGATGCCCCCAGCAACTCCTGCCATCTTCCACTCAGCATCTGATCCCCCCCGCCACATGTGTGGGATCCCATCGATTCCTTGGCTGTGTCCCTTGCCTCTTGGTGTTATCTTTCGGGGCTCACTCATTTTCTTAACCACTTTACATTGAACCCCCCAGGGCACAAACTATTCTGTTGCTGTGTTCTATGTGCTTAGAACTTAGGTTGACTGGATGCAGTGCTGAGCTTATCCGCACGACGCCAAGTGCATCCTGCCAGATGGGTCTGGGTTGTTCCCCTGAGGAGCCCAGGCCCTTCTGTGAGGTGAATCCATCACTCATCCAGAGCTGCGAATGGTCTAGTCAGCAAGATGTTTTTCCTCCTGAGGTTTTGCAAGTGGTTTCCAGGGAGGAGAAGGAAGGAGGATGCGGCCTATAGAGGTTCACAAAGTGTGGTCCCTGGACCGCTCGAACTGGAATCAGCAGGGCTTCCTGTCAAAATGCAGACTCCCAGGCCCTGACCCAGACCCTCTAAACCCAGGAGGGGAGGGGAGGGCTGGACATCTAAGTGTAGCAAGTTCTTCAGGTGGTTCTGTGCTGACAGGTGGGAGAACTGTTGCCTAGCCTCGGAGGGCTTCCCTTTCCTCCTGAATTTAGCCCTGGCCGCCTCCACTATCCTCGTGTAGATCTAGCTCAGCCCATGTGCAGAGCAGTGAGTGACTGGGGCTCAGGCTTGGCAGGGCCCAAATATGTGGTGTCAGCAGGAGTGGCCTCCAGGGAAGGATGTGCCGCCTCCGTTCCTCATGCAGGGAGGCAGGGAGCCAGGGAGCCCTGCCTCCTTCCCTGGGCAGGAGACAGTTGGGTGCCTTGCTGGGCCTGAGGAGAGCCCTGCATGGGATTAATAAGGAAGCAGCTGTGTTCCCCAGGAACTGAGACCTAGTTGCATATGTACAGGAAGGTGCTGCCTTCCAGAAGCTGGGGGCGGCTGCTAACAGGGGTTCTGGGCCCCAGGCCTGGTGTCACACTGCCAGCTCCTGAGCCTTCTTAGCCAGACCACTGCTTGCTGACTGGCTGGACGTCACAGCAGCACAGGGGGCCTGGGTTTCCTGGACCCCTTAGGGACACTGCAAGCTTCATATCCTTTCCCTGGCTGTGGCCACACATGCTGCCTTGTGTAAATCCTGCTCTTCTGTCTTGGTTACCATTCCCTGCAGTGTTTACCTGGGTTCAGGCCTTTCCTGACCATCCCTAATTCCTCTCCCCAACTCCCTTATCTTTGGAAGAGCACTGACCCTTCTTGGTATTTGTCTGTTATGTGTTTCATTATTTAAGGCCTGTCTCTCCCACTAGATTATAATTACTTAAAGGTAAGAAACGATTTCATTCATCCCGTATTCCCAGCACCCAGCCCCATCCCTGGCATATGTTAGGAGCTTAATGCACAAATATTTGTTAAGTGAATACATGCAGGTTTCAGTCTGAAAAGAGGAAGAGAAAAGAGGCGGGGTGGGTGTTCCTGTTCCCTTCTGGGGTGGCCTTCTCCAGCACCTGTCCCCGGGCACCTGGCATGAGTGTGTTGTGAAAGCAGCCCTGGCTCTCGACTGTTCCATCTCATCCACCTGTTCTTCCCCAATCAGGTGAACGCTTGGCCAAGCCGGAGAGAGGCAAGATGCGAGTGCACAAGATCTCCAACGTGAACAAGGCATTGGATTTCATAGCCAGCAAAGGGGTCAAACTGGTGTCCATTGGAGCCGAAGGTGAGTCGGGCCTGCCCTAGGCTGTCCCGGGGAGCCTGGTGGCCTGCCTGATTGCCTGTGTTCCTGGATTCTTGGGCCCTTTCTACCCTGACTGCTGGGCCTGTGTATCACCAGCAACATCTGGAAGCTGGTCTGGTTGGCCTGTGAGAACAGCAGTCTTTGTGCAGCAAGGACTTATCTCCCCTTCCCGTTCCCACACTCCTTCCACCAGATCCTCACACCGTGGAGCCCTCCAGGGTGCTGTTGCCTCCCTCACCCACAGGCCCAGCTGTACTTTGCTGCCTGCAAAGGAGTGCTCTGTGGCTGGCTTGTATTCTCTGCTGGGGGTTTGGGGGAGGCTGCTGGGCCCTGAGGTTCTAACGGCCCTGGAGAGACTGCTGATCTCAAAGCCACACTGTAAATAGCATATTCCTACAGTGTAGCTTCTTGGTTTTGTTTTCATCACTTTAAAAGACTTTTTTTTAAAATGCTGTTTGAATGATTATTTGCATGTTCTTAATTAAAAGGAGACAGCACAATTTCCGGTGTGCTCTGCAGTGGCTCTGGAGACTGTACGGGCTAGGTCAGGGCAGTTAGAATATTGTAACCAGGCCCTTTTGGTAATGTGGCCCATGGGCTCAGCAAGCCCTTACTGGGCATCTGCTGTGTGATGCCAGAGATCTGAAGATGGATACCACATGGCTGTGAGTACCGAGCTCTCGCTGTGTGGAAGTACCATGCTGAAGCCTTCAGCCCTCGATCTCAGTCCTCACAGCCACCCCATGAGCAGCTGTGATTATTACCCCTACTCTACAGTTAGAAAACCTGCCCACAAAGATTACAGGGCTTGCTCCGGGTGCAAACCAGAACTCAAACCCAGGTCTGCATGACCCTGGAGAAATGCCCCAGCAGGCAGCATGTCCTGGGACAGTGCATCCATAGGAGCAGATCTCTTTTCTGGATGATGCTTAGAACCCCCTTTTTTCTGGAAATTGAGGGATGTTGTGTGAATTTCAATCAAATTGAAAAACTTAAGCTCAGGGGTCAGCAGATCATGGTGTGTGGGGCTGAATACACCACACACAGGTTTTTGTAAATATTGAAACACAACCACACCTGCTTGTTTACATGTCATCTGTTCCTCTTCTGGGCCACAATGGCAGGGTTCGGTAGTTGCCACAGAGACTATAGGGCCTATAAAGTTAAACTTTTCCCATCAGGCCCTTTACAGGAAAAGGTTTCCCATGCTTGCCTTGTAAGGGCCAATGCTTTATGGATCCCACATCTCATGGGCAGAGGCCTCGTTTTCTGTGTTCTGTGACCCCAGCTTCTAGCAGTGTGTTGCACACAGTAGACGGCTCAGTTAACTTGGGAAGCACTTGCATGTAGCAGGATACTCTGCTTTGTGGTTGGGAAAATATTGTCTGCCTTTTAATAAAAAGAAAAGAATTATTTTTTCAGGGAGAAACAGAGACTTGGCAGACATTTTCAGGTAGAGGAAGCCAAGGAAAATGCCACTCAGTGGTCTGGTGCCAGTTCAGATACCCACCAGGGCAGGGAGGTATAAAATGTGTGAATGAGGCTAGGGTGGGCAGCAGGGCTGAGTGAAATGGAGAGAGCTCGTCCAGCTCAGTGGAACAGGCACCCCATAGATCCGATCAGTTGTTGTTTTGTGGGAATACAGGTTCAGCTGTAGAATCTTCCTGTGCTTCAAAAGAAGCCAGAAATTCAGATTTTTAGAATGGAAAAACTGGCAACTAACTAGGGAAAAAAAATTGTTTTGTTTTCAGAAAGATGCTACCAAAGAAGAGGGGAAAGGGGAAGAGAACAGCATTTACTAGTACCAGCTCTGTGCCTGGCGAGGCAGGATGCTTTCTGTGGGTTATCTTCTGACCTCACTCCAGGGCTGGAGGATGGCTGTGACCAGCTGCATTTTACAATTAGGGAAACTGAGGCTCAGGAAAGTTAGTCCAGCCTAGTCAATGAATCAGACTGCTTGTATGTGGCAGAGGTTTCGGGCCCCAGGGCAAGGACCCTCCTGTCACTCCGGACATTGCCGCCTCCCCATAGAGTCCCAGGATGAAACTGTATGTCTCATTTGCCTCCGTAACGAGGTGGCAGGTGGTTTGCATGCTTGCTGAGGAGCTGAGACACATCCTGGCATGAACTCTGATCTGATTGCCTCTTCCGTGCCTCAGAAGTGCCTTCACCTGGCCCGCTCCATGCTCCAGTCCTTTGACACCAGCCTAGAGTAGGGTATTCTGTCATCCCACTGCCTTAGGCAGCCGGTGAGGCTTCTGGTCTGAAATAACCTACCCCGATTCAAGTCAAGCACGAGGAGCATGCTGGAAACGTGATGAGCCTCCCAGTGGGTTTGTTTTGAATGAAATGAAGTCTACTGTAATAGAGTAGGAAGTAAAGGCAGTTTATCATATCACCTGGAATGAACTCTTTGCAGTGGGAGGGTGTCGCTGTCAGTTGTCCTGATAGAGGAGTATCCAGGGCTGCTGAACACAGTGGATGGGGACCTGGTCTGGTGAGGACAGCCTCTCCCCTCCCAGCATTTGAGGGATTATCTTGTGGTGCAAGGGCTGGACTCTGGTCAACCTGCAAGTGCAAAACTAAGTCTGGAAGGGGACCCTCTGGGCAGGCCCATTAAGTTTTAGGGGAGGGAGCTGTTTTGCCAGGAAGGTCATGTGGTCCCTGTCCCTCAAGGTGTTGCTGGAGACAGAGCACTTCTGTGTGTCAGGAATGGGTTCAAAATGATCCCTGAGGTATCTTCTGTGGTACTTGCTTCTAGAATGTCTAGACTCCACAGGATTGAGACTTGCCCTGGATGTATGGTTGGGCTATAACCAGGGGAGGGCACCCAAGGAGGACTTTTCATTTTAAGGTCTTTGGTGGGGAAAGCTTGGTGGTTTGGGTGCAGAGAGCAGTTTGCTGTGGTCCTGCTGGTTTTAATGTAGGAAGGGAGGGGCAGTGGGTGCAGTAGTGGAAGCCTTGGTCTGGGAGGCAGTGGTCCATGGGATGGAGAAGTGAGGAGGAGGAGGAGAGACAGTTCAAAGCAAGCTCGGATTTGAGCAGCTTTGTGGCCACCATAGACCAGGAACGGCAGACACGTACCCCCACTTCTTCCTGTGCCCACAGCAGTCACTGGCAGTCTCTTGCCAGGGTTTTTCACACGGTGACCAGTCATGGCCTTGGAACCCCCCCTTGGGCCCCATCTGGAAGATGGGGTGCCTGCTACAAACATGGACATGGCTGGAGGTCTACTGTGTGGGGGATGAGGAGGGTCACCCCCCAGGGAGGGCCACACTTGCGAGAGAGGTGGGTTGGTGCAGAGGCTCTTAACTGAAAACCACCACTCTGTTTGCTCCTCTCTGGTGCCTCTTGTTTTCCAGAGTGAACCTGCTTCTTTGAAGTGAATTGAGAAGTCCATAAGCAAAACTCCCTGGGCGCTCTGGGGAAGGAGGAGAGGAGTAGTTAGAAACCAAAACAGAAGACTCCTGCTTCCCTTAGAGCTGGGAGGGCTCTTGTTGATGGGGGTGGGGAGGGGTCTACTTTGGGTTCTGAGCTCGGCCAGTGGGAGCCCTGGGTATTTGGTCACCTGGAAGTGGGGCAGAAGGGAAGAGATTGGAGGGAGTAGGGACCCTGCCTTGTATCCTCCACTCCTAGAAGGGCTGATCTCAGGATTATCACTTTCTTAAAGCTTCAGATAAAGGGGAATGGGCAGCTGGGTCTGTACTGCAGTGGTAAAGCAGGTGCCTAGCATATGTAAAGCCCTGGGTCTCTCCTCAGCACAAACAATACAAAACAAAACAAAAAAACCACAGACCTTCTATTTGAAGTGCTGTCCATAAAATTGCACTGTAATGATTTTTCCAAGTGATTAAAAACTCATGAATGCAGTGTTGCTCTGGCCACTTCAGCCATCTGTTTGAGAGCAGCTGTGTTCTGTGCCACACCTGGGCCCTGGGAGAGGAGTGCCGTCACCGTCTTGGGGGCCTGCGACAGGCGTGTGCGGTCTCAGCCCCTTCCCCAGGTGTGGGGCCTGCCTGGGAATGCTCATTCATTGGTTCGCTCATTCATTCCTCAACAGGATTTTGGAAGTCCTGATCCCCCTCGAACTTACATTCTAGAAGGGCAAGAAAAATAAAGCAGGGAGTAAAGTAGGTGGTCAGGGAAGGTGCCAGTGAGATGACATGGGGGAGGGAGGGGATCTGGAGGAGGAGGAGGAGGAGGAGGAGGAGGAGGAAGGCCTGCACTGTGAGGTTTCTTCTCTGCCAGTGAGGGGCCACCTTGGAGGTTGGAACTGCGGGGCGTTGGCTCTGCGCATTTACTCAGGAACTCTTTGTACTTTGTGCATTCACACACAGTTTGCACTTTGGGGCCATGATAAATATACAGCAAACCTTACTCTGCATTTCAGGTCTTTGGCCAAGGATAGATTTCTAGAGATGGAATTTCACTGTCAAAAAAACAACTGAACAACTTTTAAGAGGCCAGCTACCTGTTGCCAAGTTATTTCCCTCCAGGTTGTTTTTTCTTTCTTTCTTTCTTCCTCTCGCTCTTTCTGCCAGTTTACGTTCCTAGCTACAGTGTGGTGGAGTCATGTTAGTAAACATCAAGGTATATCTGTTTTCTAACTTTCATAACTTAATAGTGGGGAAAATGATATTTCAGGGGTTTTTTTGCCACCGGGGATTGAACTCAGGACCTTGCGCTTGTGAGGCAGGCGGCGGGAAAATGATATTTCATTCCTTGATTCCAAATAAGAACATTCGTATGAATTGGTTATTTTCAGTTCATGTTTTATGATGTATCCATTCATGTCTTTGTCTATTTACCTGTTGGGAGTTTAGGCTTTTTCTTATCAATTCAAACTCATTAGGGCCGGGGATTTAGCTCACTGGTTTTGCCACCTGCTGCAAGGACCTGAGTTCGATCCGCAGTACCAAAAAAAAAAAAACCAAACAACTCGTTAAATGTTAGAGATGTCAAACAATTGAAAGTTGGAGATATAAGTGGATCTTTAAAAATATTAAAGCTCTATGAACTGATTCTTAGTGGATGATTCTGCCTCCTGTGTCATTAACAAAAACAGCCATAGCTTTTGCTGCTTGGGCTCTCTGCCTCCCTCTAACCCGTGCCCTCACATGTGGAACTGCACCCCCTAGTGTCTGGGGTTCCGGAGGCCCCTGTAGCCAGAGATTGCTCCATGCTCTGTACCATGCTGGGAGCAGCAGGCAGTTTTGCCCTCACCTGTGAGGAAGGGGCTAAGATCTCAGAGTAGCATCTTCTTATTGGGAATTCAGTCAGTTTAAGGAGTTTGTCAGAGACAGACACTAGTGGCTGTGGGCAGAGCAGATTGCATATGGCTCCTTGGAAATGGGCTCTTCTTGTGGTTTTTTTGAAGCTCAGTCTCCTCTAAAGCTAGTGTGCAGGAAGGGAAAAATGAGACATTCCTTGGGTACCTCACACTCTACAGAGAGTACCTGGCTGTAGACCAGGTGAATGTCCCCCTGCTCTACAAATGAGTGATGGTAGGAGTCTGCATTTGAGCAGCCTGTGGAGCCACCAAGAGGAGTTCTTGATGTTTGTCTTTCTTGACTCTAGGACTGATAGAGTAAAAAAAAAAGAATAGAACTTATAGCATTTAAAATTCTAAAAAGTTCTGCTTAGACAATTTAGCAGGTAATCCCGGAGATGTGATTTTTTAAAAAAGGAGATGTAAAGGGACTTATTAGGCAGATATTTAAAAGTACACACTCTAAATAGAGTATGGGTCAGAGAGAAGGAGGGAGGTGCTTTAGTTTAGAGCTGGGAATATATCTGTTTTGGTGTTGGAAATTTGTGGCATTTATAATCTTTAGGGAGTTGTCAGGGTTTTCAGGAAAGAGGGTGACTCACCCATAGAAAGATAATGGCCCTGGAGGAAGGACATGAACCCCACCAGTTTTTTTTTTTAATGAGTGATTAAGATATTTTGCTTAAAAACATTCTTTGAACTCTCTCAGTCTGTTGTTCCTTTATCTTAAAATGTGGTTTCTGCCCTTTATTTTATCAACTATGCTAATTTATGGTCTTACAGTATCTTTAAGGGATTTTGGGTGTGATGAGCCAAGACGGAAAAGAACTATAAATAAACTCGGAATACTGATATGGATGACCTTGGGTAATTCTGCCTTTGTCCTGGTCTTAAAAGTATAAATTTAATAGCCAGGAGTGGTGGTGCACTCTGGAGGCTGAGGCAGGAGGAAGGCCGTGAGTTCAAGGCCGGCCTGGACTACCTAACAAGACCCTGTCTCAAAAAAGTACAGAATTTCAGTTATGATTTTTCTCATCTCCTTTCTACCTATTTTTATTTCTATCCTACTTCATCCTCCCTCCACAAAAAGAATTTTGATCTCTCACTCTCAAGGTGATCAGATGGCGGGGATCCGTCTGAAGGTAACCACTTCAGGCTGAAGAGAGGCATTGATGCCTCCTAGCCAGGGATCAGAAGTCTCCCTGCCTAATCTAAAGGAGACAGGGAAGATGGGTTTTGTTGTTTGATGAGCCATCATCTTTTGATAGTCTGGAAAAGAGGGCAAGAACGCTAGCAAGCTGCTGACATTGAAGCTTCCATGTGATGACCATGAATAAGCACAGGCTAAAGACTGGAAGTAGAATAATGATGAGAGTTGCTCAGAAAGTAGAAATCAAACAAAAGTAGTCAACATTTGGCATAAGCCTTTCATCTTTACTATTTTAACCTCTACGGTGGTACTTTGGTTGTTGAATGGCTCCAAGCTTGAACTTTCCACTACTCGAACAGCAGAGCTCAGAAAAAAATCTGCTTGATGTTCCTAACTTTGCTTGATAATCAGCTGAAAATTGGACTTGAAAAATCCTGTACAGCTCGAGAGCGAGTCAGGTGTGGAGTTGAGCGCCTTGGACACGAAGGGGCGGTGCGTGAGTCTTAAGTGCAGCCCCCCCAGGCAGCATACAGTGCTTGTGTTAGTGCTTTACAGCATTCGTCATTGTGCTTTGTTTGAGTAAATCTCATAACTGTAGTTCCAAAGTTAGTGATACCAGCAGGAAAGCTAAAAGGAAAACTGTAAAGACCCTGGACAGAAATCATTGTAGAGTTTGTGAAAGTCCTGAAGAAATGAATTTGTAAGTGTAATTTTGGGCCCTTAGAACCAGTTGTTTGATTTTCCATTATTTCATATGGGAAAAATTTGTTCAGTTCTTGAACTTTTTGGTGTTTGAACATGAATTTGGAACGAATTGAGTTCGATAAGCAAGGTGTAACTATTTGCTCAGAGGTGTTAACCCAAGTACAGCAGGTGAGGTTGAAGAGCGAGTAGACTTGTCTGTGTTTTGACAAAGACATCTAATATTCTCTTATTTAATTATAACAATGGCGAAGGAATACACTAAGAAACTTATGTTTTTATTAACATTGAGCCATTCAGGTTTTTTACTATGGGGCTGAACTTGGATCCAGCCCCTATTTTGTAGACCTGAAGGCCTTTTGTAGTGACGAGATGCATATAATATAAACATGTAAGTAAGCTCGAACCACAAAGGTAACAAAATTTAGTAGCTACAATATGTATATTGCCCCATCTTATTCTATAGGCATATCTGTCTGTACAAGAAGCCAAATCTGAGAACTACTTGAAAGTACACTAAAGTAACATAATGGCAGTATACTAAGAGCGGTAGAAGGACACATTTTGGACAGCTAGCGGGTCTGAGCTATGATCTTGAAGCTGTTTGATTTAAAACCCAAAAGCTATCTTAGTACTCAGCTAATGACGTTATGAGGTTGATCTGTGAGCTGGTGGATCATTCAAGATGGCAGTTCATAAAACCCTGGCAAGTTTGTGACTTTGGTTGCTCCCATTGAGTTTCGGGGTGCAGACAACTATTTTGAGAGCTGTGATTGCTCCGACACCCCCAGTCCAGTTGCCAGACTCTCTGTATGATGGCTTAGAAATCCAGTCCCTCTTCTGTCAGGCTCCCAACCACAGTTAGGGTTCAAGGTACCCCTTCTCTGTAGATTTTCCTGACTTGCCCACTGTCTGCGAGTACAGTCATCTACACCTTCCCTGTGACTCACATAGACTTTTCTCTTGGCACCTGTTCTGGTTGATTGCACTGACTTTTAAAGACCTGTTAGGGGCTGGGGGTGTAGCTCAGTGGTAGAGCCTGTGCTTAGTATGTGTGAGGTCCTGGCTTCTATTTCCATGAGTGAACGAGTGAATGAATGAATGTAAGGAAAACCCTCCTCTTTCCCTTGAAAAATGGCACGCAGTGGTCTTTGATTCCTAGCACGGTCCATTGAGTGCTGTGGGAGATCTGGGAATGTTAACCCTGTCCCTGATACACCCATTCTGATGTCCTGTCACTGTTTCTGCAGAAATTGTGGATGGGAATGTGAAAATGACCCTGGGCATGATCTGGACCATCATCCTTCGCTTTGCCATCCAGGACATCTCTGTGGAAGGTGAGTTTCTGCTGTGTTATATTCCTTCCCGAGGGTGCAGCTCTGCCCTGGGCACAGCAGGGAGAACCCGGGGCCATGATGCTGGATCACGGGCCGTGTTCTGGGCTTCTTACCCATTTCTGGGCATCTGCCCTCTGTGCTAGTCTGTGTCGTGAAGTAAGACCTACTGTATTGAGTGCTGACCCCTCTAGAGTTGGCCCAAAACTTACGGGGTACAGCAAAAGCTGTACTAAGAGGGAAGTTTACAGCTGTAAGTGCCTACATCAGACAGATCAAAAGATTTCACATGAATGACCTATAGGCCTGTGGACTCCAGGGACACTCTCCACTTTGGGGAAGCCCATGGCTGCTGTGGAAAATGACGGGTGGGAAAGCTTGAGGGAACCTGGAGGGAATACAGGGAGAGGAGCTCACCACTTTGTTCCCATAGCGCCCCCTGGTGGCTGTATCACAGATTTGTCCGGGCCACCACTGTCTCCAATAGTGATCTCTATTCCTAAACCGATGATTTTGCATTCCAGCAGTTTTTGAGCTTTAGGTCTGATATGCATATATTTGTTTTGTAGTATTTATGTATTGCTGTGTACATCATAAAATACATATACAAATATATAAACATATCACATTTTTAAAAGGTGAAAGACTATATTTTAAAAATCTTTTAACTCATTTTAATGGCATAGAAATCTGAAAACATTTTTATTCAGTGGAATTTTACCACCCCCCACCCCGGGAGGGGGGGGGGGAGCTTCAAACCCAGGGCTCCCACCTGGTAGGCAGGCACTCTGACTGAGCCACCCCCTTAGCCTCTCAAAGGAATTTCTTAATGAAAACATGGATTAAGTTGCTTTATTGTACAGACCTTGGTCTGACACTATATAATACAGCATTGTGGAGGTCTAAGTTCCATTTGTAGATACTTGGTGTTTAGGTCTGAGGTGGTTGAAATGCAGCCCATGATAGTCACTTAAGGTGAATTCACGTTACTGATAGAGGGTGTAAATCCATTTTCCAAATAGCCATTTTTTTTAAAAAAAAAAAAAAAGAGGAAAGGTTTATTTTGGCTCACATTTTTTAGAGGTTTCATTCCATAGTTGGCTGGCTCCAAGGCAGGATGGCATGGCAGAGGGACATTGCAGAGGAGAAAGAGTTCATGGCAAAGCAGGGCAGGCAGAAGGCAGTAAAGCAGCAGAAGCAACCTCAAATAGCCTTGTTGATACTTTTTATTCTTTTGGGTGGACTTCTTGTCAACACTGATTAGATCATCATTATTTTTAATCTTGTGATATAGTAGAAATCTTGAATTAAGTAGAACCATTAGCTTTGCCAATCTTTAAAATATTTCCTTGTGCCTAGATTATTATAATCTTTCTAGGAACCCTTTAATGTCATTATGTGAGTTGAAGGTAACGGGATCAACCATGAAGTGACTTCCCTGTGTACCATAACCTGCATTTCCCAGATGTGAACACACAGGAGTGGTAGGGTTTGTAGCCTTTCCATCCCAGGCGATCCCAGGGTCCCCTCGGATGTCTGCCTCACCTCATAAACACGTGACTCCTTTACACATGGGGCAGCAGAAGGCACTGGGTCGAGCTATGCAGGAAGCAAGTGTAGGAATCTTCCCGCTGTCTTCCCACTCCGGGGGCTGCATAATCCCTTGTCTGGCAGCTCCTGGTCATTTAGCTTCCCAAGACTACTCAAACTCCTTCCCACAGTGGCCACCGGACAATAGTCACCGATTTATCTTGTATCACTGCCACTTCTTATGGAGGAAATAACTCAGGATTTCAGTGTATAAGGTGGCCAGCTTGTTCTTGTTTCTCAAATAACGCTCAAACCTTGTCAAGCAGAGATGTGATGGCCAAGGCTGCTTCTCTCCCTGGCAGCAGCAGGGTTGGAATATAGAGGTCACAGTGCCCTCCCATCCCTGGGTCATGTACTGACCCATCTGCTGTCCCCTTCCTCACAGAGACCTCTGCCAAGGAAGGGCTGCTCCTGTGGTGTCAGAGGAAGACAGCCCCTTACAAAAACGTCAACATCCAGAACTTCCACATCAGGTGAGGGCAGTGGGCTGGATGCCCTGGGATGCAGGGCTGCCTCCCTCAGGAGCTCCTGGGCCCCCTTGGCTGGTCAGTCTCAGCTCCGGAACAGAGTTGGGGCGCTTGGATAGGAAGAATCTTTTCTGGGAAAGAGGTGTTTCTGTCCCGAGTTCCTCTTTGCTCCCTGCAGTGTCTTGGACACGCTCGCTGCCCGGCGTGCCTTTGCTTGGTGTTTATGCTGCTGGGAAGATCCCCATGGAGAATATCTGGGGAATCCCAGCCAACGGCTCTAGACCAGCAGTCTAGAAGATGGGGGAAGATGGATAGGGCAGTTTTGTCTCCCCTGCCTGCCTCCTACAAAAGGTTGCCCCAGTGCCTGAGGTCATGGCAGGAAGGATCTTTTAGCCAAGCATGGTGGTGCACACCTGTAATCCTAGCACTGTGGGAGGCTGAGGCAGGAGGATCACAAGTTCAAGCCCAGTTTGGACAACTTAGCAACTTAGCGAGACCCTGTCTCAAAATAAAAAAGGTCTGGGGATGTAGCTTAATGTAAGGCCCTGTGTTCAATCCCCAGTACTGAAACAAAAAGAAAGAAAAGAAATATCCCTTCCCATCCTGTCTTCTCCTGATTCCTGCTCTGAAGAGTTAAGTTCTCATCTCTGGAGAAAAGGAAGCTCCGCATGGTGCTTTGCCCGGGTTAGTGCCCTGTGCCCCTGTTCAGCCCACTTACCAGCCTGTCCCCCTCTGTCTTCCCTGGCAGTTGGAAGGACGGCCTCGGCTTCTGTGCCTTGATACACCGACACCGGCCTGAGCTTATCGACTATGGCAAGCTGCGGAAGGTACGTGTGCTCCCCTCGCCTCAGGCTCCTGGGTACAGGGCTTGGGGAGGGCAGGACAGGTCCGCTGCCCTGAGATCCTGAGGGTTGTTGATTAGCCGGATGGAGCCCCATTTTGAGAGCAGAAACCCACCTTCCCTACTGGTGCTGCCTCAAGTGTGCACCGTACCTTGTCCTTGTGCACACACAGCCCACCAGGAAGAAATACAGAAGAGTGGCAGCAGTGGCAGCAGTGTCGTTGGTGATGAGCTGTTGGCCCAGGTTTTGTAAGGTGGTGATGCTACTCAAGTGATTCTAAATGTTCTGAGAGACATTTTTCCTGACTTCACAGGCAGCTGTCCACCTGTGGGTTCAGTTTCCTTGGTGCTTTTGGTCCAAAGCTACTGTGTTGAGGGGGTGGTGAGGAGACAGGGCCTGTTTCCAGCCTTGTGCTGGTTCTTGGTGTCCGAGCTGGTTAAAGGACACAGGCCTAGACCTTGGTGAGGCCTGTCCTAGACCACTCCTCCCATGCCTTCCTATCCCATGGCCTCTTGGGGCCCCCCCCACTCCCAGGTGTGGCTGGCCCCAGGTCTGTGGAAGCAGGGGATGGCTTTTCCCAGACTGCTCTGTTGGGAAGAAGGGAGAGCCCGGCCTGCCGCAGGGGAAGGGAAGTCAGTCTTCTGACTGTGGCCATGATCTTTGTGGTCAAAGCAAATGGATGGGGCCAGGAGATCTCAAAGGCAACAGTTTTCCTCACCTTGTACCTCTCTGTATCCGTTTGTCCCTGCACATTTTTCCCTGTTGGGTAGCATCTCTGCCTTCCCTTCTTTTTAGCTCAGCACCATCAGTGAACTCCAACCCAGATCCCTTCACAGACCTGGCCCGGAAGAACTGAGAGCACTTTCCAGAGCTTGGGTGTGGGGCAGAGAGCCAAGGGGCTCTGACTGAGAAGCTCTCTGGCACCAATGGTGGGATGGGGGGTCCCCCGAAGTCCCTGGGGCTGGCGGGGTGCACTGTGGCCTGTGTGCTGGCTGCCACCACAGCAAACCCTGGGCAGGCATGACCTTCACTGATGGGCAGTGTATTTTATCATCGAGGCCACCATCTGATACTTTCCCAGAAGTACTCCATCTGCTCTATTTTGAGGAATTTCCTTCTGAAAACATCCCAAATGAATCTGTTACTCTGTAATTTTCACTTGAGCAAACAGGGAAACTGAGTCCCAAGCTAGTAAAACTATCTCACTTAGGTTAGTCTTCGGAACCAGAAAGGGAATAGAAGGCCCAGCAGGGAGTTCACCTTGCTAAGCGCCCCTGCTAATCAAATATCATTTAAAGAGAAAAAATAAAAATAAGATAAAAGCTATATGACGTAAAATTTATCATCTTAGCCGTTGTAAGCGTGCATTTCATGGGCGTTGCGCATGTGCACGTTGGCACACAGCCACCACCACCATCTATCTGCAGAACTTTCTTCTAGTCTCACAAGATCATAGCTCTCTGCACACTAAGCAATAACTCCTCATCTCCCCTTTTCCCAGACCCTGGCAACCTTCTGTCTCTGATTTTTGACTACTCCAGGTACCTCAGAAGACCAGAATCCTATAGCATCCACCCTTCTGCGTCAGTATATTTCACTTAGCATAATGTCTCCGAGGTTCCTTGTTGTAGCTCACGTCAGACTCTTCCTCCATGTTCACACTGAGTGACACTCAGGTGTGTATCTGCACCGAATTTTCTTTATCCTTCCATGCGTTGATGGACCCGGGCAATGCTGCTGTGAACGTGAGGGCACAGGGATTTCTCTGAGACCCTGGTGTACACTCAGAAGTGGAATTGCCGGGTCAGGTGGTAATTGTTTCATCTTTTGAGGAACTGCCACACTGTTCTCCACAGCAGCTGCACCGTTTTACATTCCTGCCTGTGTTCACTCGTGCATTTCATTCCCGTGCCCAGGGATCCCAGTTTCTCTGCATCCTTGCCAGTCTCTGCTCAGTCTTCTGGAGAAAGTAGGAGAGACAGGAATAGTCAGAAAGCTGTGGCTATTTGAAGGAGCCCTAAAATTATATGAAATGAAAGAACCAAGGGGCTCCTTGTCCAACTCTTGACTTACAGATGAGGAAACTGAGTCTAGGTCACGCATCCACTTGTCCTGCTGGCTGGTGGCAGAGCTGAAACCAGAAGCCAGAGTCATGGTGACTTATTCCCAGCAAGCATTTCTTAGCAACTTTTTCCTACACTGAATCAAGCTGCAGGCCAATATTCTTTGCCCCATTTCCCTGACAAAGAAACTAACACTCAAAGGGGAAAGAGAATTTTGTTGTTTTGAGACGGAGTCTTGCCATGTAGCCCAGGCTGGTCTCAAACTCATATCCGCCTGCCTCAGCCTCTGGAGTGTTGGGATAATAGGCGTGTGCCACCACATCGGGCAGGCATGTTTTGAACCCTCAGCCAATGATCTGTGGTGAAGAGGCCAGCTTTATCCATCTAGAGCTGCCCTCTGAGGCTAACAGGAAGTCCCTTCTGGCCCCCAGATTTAGTGATCATTGGCTTGGGGTAGCCAGTGATTTTTCTTGGCTCTCTCTTTACCATCACTTCCTCCTCTTCTCCCTCTAGGACGATCCACTCACAAACCTGAACACAGCCTTCGATGTGGCAGAGAAGTACCTGGATATCCCTAAGATGCTGGATGCTGAAGGTAAAGGCACTACTGTCCTTTTGGGGTTCCTAGCTCTGCCCCACCCTACCCTCCTGGCAGCCAAGGGGGCCCCAGCGAGGCAGGAAGGGAGAAGGGCTTTCTTCTGGGACCTCATCTGCCTGTCAGGGATTCTGGGGCTCCCTGTGGTTCAGAGGAGAGGTGCTAGCAGATATTGTACCTGTCTTTGGGCTGTTTAGGCATGGATGGCTTGCAGGTGGCTGTCATCTTTGTCTTAGAGTTAGGGTGGAATGTTCCCTTTTGGTCCCACTTCTGCCTCCAGTTTAGGGTGGGAGGTTGCCTGGCTGAGAGGTGCCCTGAGCTGCAGGGTGCTCACTGGACTGTAGGCTGGGTGTGGTGTTGGCTCTTGGCAGCTTCTAAGTGTAACCCTGGGGCACACCCTTTTCTCTTGAGCACCAGGGAGCCTGGGTTAGCTTTTGTCAGCAGTTCCCATCTTGGACCCACCTGCTCAGCAGATGCTGGCCAGAGGAAGTGGCTCCCATGTGGGGAGATTTTGCATCCCAGACCCCACTAGCCAGGCATTCTGGTTGGGGACAGGTTCAGGGCTTGACACAAGAACATCCTTACCAAAAGTGTGGTCCTGGGACCAGAAACTCAGCTCTTCCTGACTACTAAACCCAGCTTTACACCTGCCACCATGCACACAAGGCCAGTGGGGCAGGTAGAGGTTCTCAGGGGAAGGGGAGCATCTGGGAGTGTAGGAGCCCAAGGGCCTCAAGGTTGGGATCGGTCTAGGTCTTCTTGTCCTTGCTTCTGCTGTGGCCTCTTGGAGAAGCCTGGTGCCGTAGCCACTGTGAGCCCCCTCGGTCCCAACTGCTCAGGTGCCATTTTGAAATGTGTGTGCTCTGTTGAGGGGCTGGAAAGCCACCTGGGTTGGGGTCCAAGACCTGCCCCCTTCCCTTATGCTCCCTCCCCACTAGTGACAGTTTAAATTTGAAAATGTCTCTAGGAAGATTTTAAAACATGTACAAGAGCAAAAAGAATTGTAGAGTGAATTTTCATTCAGCCATCCTCCAGATATAATGATTATTGAGATTTTGTCATACTGTATTTTTCTCTTTTTGTTTTCTTTGTTAAAATATATTAAATCAAATCTCAGATATCACATGTCCCCACTACCTATTCAGAATACATGCCTTAAAATTACAGGTATTTTTTAGGTAACCATAAAACAGTTTTCACATCTGGCACAGGGATAATAATTCTTTGAAACAGTTATTGCCTAGTTCATAATCAGATTTCCCCAGCTATGTAAAAAATGTCTCTGAGAGGTGGTTTATTATGATCAGAGTCAGAAAGATCCGTCCATGGTATTTGGTGGTTAGAGTTTATGTCTTTTCTAACCTGCAACCCCCCTCCCCTCCAGTACTGGGGGTGGAACCCAGGGCCTTCACACTGAGCTATAGCCTCAGTTTTTTTAAAATTCTGAGACAGGGTCTCCCTAAGACACTAAGTTGCCCTGTACTTATGATGCTGGCTCAGCCCCTTTCCTTCCTGCCTTTGAACATGTGACTGAATCAGGGCCTGCTCTCCTGTAGACCATTTCTTACTCTGGGTTCATCCCCTTGCTTCATTCATCCATTCCTCTCCCTCCCACGTTCTTGTTAGTAGGAGTTGCCTCTGGAGTCTTTGTGGTGCTGTGTCTTTTCGAGTCCGCATTGGGAGGTGTGCCACGTGCTCCCCGGCTGGCTTTAACTCCGTATTTCCCTTGACAGACATCGTTGGAACTGCCCGGCCCGATGAGAAAGCCATCATGACTTATGTGTCCAGCTTCTATCACGCCTTCTCTGGAGCCCAGAAGGTACCTGGGGACCCCTGCTCCTCCCATGCCCAGCACACCTCGTGCCGGACCCCACACCATGCCTCCTGCCCCAGTGCCCGCCTGCCCCTGCCTAGTAGTGGTCATCTAGATGGTCTGCTCTTGCGGGTAGAGTTAGTCCTGGTTCTGGAGTGGTGTGTTGTTCTTGCTTGGCTCCTCCCTCCCCTCCCTCCATCTCCATCCCTGTCTCTGTCTCTCTTTTTCCTTCCTCTCCTGTCACTGAGAAAGTTGTACAAGAGCTCCCCTCTTGGCACCAGCTGACTGGTGGAGGCAGGAAGAACTGTGTGGGTGAGGTCAGTCTCGTGGTCCTCGGCACAGGAGACGAGTGTGGGCTGCAGCCCCTGCAGGTCCTTGACACATCTGTCCTTGACAGCAGCAGGCTTCCCTGGGGGCGCTGTTCGGGCAACATCACCTGTCTCCATGTTCCTGCCTTCTGCAGAAGGGACATAAACCCTGTCCTTTGTCCTGCTCACAGGCACAGTTGATCAAGTCTGTCCCTGGCCCTTTGAGGCTTGTGCCTTCTCGTGTCCTGCCTGGGACCCCTGTGGGACCCCTGTGGGTCCCCTGCACTCTGTGTTCCCACACATAAGCACAGCCCTGGTGGGAGAGAGCGAGGCAGTGGGCAGCTGTGAGCACCTTCAAGTGTCCTGGCCCAGGTCTGCCTGAGGTTAAAGTCCAGATATGCAGATTCCATGCTACCCAGAAGGAATGCCCTGCAGAGGCCTCATTCACACTGCAGACATTGGAGATTTGAACATTTTCTGCACAGGCTTAGCTTGGGCTACATAGCCCTGGCCACCAGACCCCATAGGTGGGACCCCAGAGAAGCGGAGCATACCCTGACCAGACCCTCCACAGCTTTGGCCAGTGGGCCTGTCCTGCGCTCTGCATGATGCCCAAGTGGCTCTGCATGACGCCCGCGTGACGTGTCTTAAAATGCACGACGGGGTCCTCGCCCTGGCCTCCTCCTGCCCAGCCTCCTGCTCCTGGCCTACTGCCACTCACCCCCCCCCCAGCCCATCCCCTCTCTGCCCATCTCATTTCTGTCTCTCTGCCGGTTGCCTCCTCTGCTGTCTGTCTTGCGTTCTCTCTGCCCGCCCCGGCTGTTCAGGTTTGTTCTGTGCTACGCTGCTACCTGCTCCTCTCAACCTCTTCTCCTTCTCTGTGCAGATGTGTAGGCACGCTAAGGCGCTAAGGCCGGATGGGGCGGCCATGTGACCTAAGGTCTCATGGCCCTGCCACGCCTTCTCGGGTGCGCGGAAGGTGAGCTCCCCCTCGGGCTCGCCCTCGCCCGCTCTCCCTGCCGCCTTCGTCCTCCAGGGGCGCCCTGCAGCCGGCCGGGGATGAGAGGAGGGGTCGAGGCCCTGCCCTTCGAGGGACAGGACGCTTTCTGAGCCCTGGCCAGGATATTGGAGATGCCAGAGAGACCTGGCCTCCGAGTGGCCTCCGTGTCTCTGTCCCAGTGCACCAGCAGAGTGGGTCACGGGGGTGGAAAGGGAGCTGCGGTCACAGCCTCCTCCCTGGACCCTGCACCCTGCACCCTGCACCCTGCTCCACGCACCCACACCCTAAGCAGCACGGCTCTTGGCTGCCTTCCTGGACACACTCTCCAAGGCCCAGGCCCCCTTGTCTCTGTCTCCCCACTTCCCACCTGGGCAAGGCCATGTCCTCAGGTTCAGCCAGCAGCCAGGGCAGAGAGAAGCCTTCCTGCCTTCTCCCTGGTGCCCAGGCCAGAGGGCCTGCCTGATGCTTCCTAGCCAGGCCTGCTGTGGGGTAGATCTGCAGGTTGCACACTACCTAAGAATGCCGTGTGTGTGCTGTAGGCAGTGGAGATGAAATATTTATTACTAAAATTATCCCAAAGACAGCAGTGCAAATGTCTCCCAACCACATCATCGTGACATTTCTAGAAGTGCCTTGGGGAAGAGGCATCTTTAGAAAATTAGAGACACCAGAGGGGCCACCAGCAGCCCGGCTCCTCACCTCATGGGGACCCAAGAGCCTCCCTTCACCGAGGCAGCAGAGTCCCACCCGGCTCCTTCCCATGCATCCCAGCCCCCAGGGAGCCCCTTCCAGCCCCTGGCTGCCACCTGCATCCTCCTCTCCGTCCCACCTGCCTCTGTGGCTCCCTGCCAGACTCTCACCCCACTTCTTTGCCAGGCCATGAGCACCGTCTCCGCCTGTCCTGCTCGGGTCCCAGCCTGGTGACCACGTGGTGCACTTGCCTGTGTCCCTGGCCATGGCAACTCCGCTGTGGCCTCTTCATGGTCCGCCTCTCCTTCCTTTTATCCCCTCCTCCTTCCCTTCTTCTTCAGGGGCTCTGTCCTGGGCTTCACACCTCTTGGTGCTGGCCTTACTGTCTTAAAGCTTCTCTGTCCTGGCTGACGATGGTGCTCAGAAGGGTGTGCTGGGTGTGTGTGGGTGTGCGACATGTGTATGGCACGTGTGGGTGGCAGCCTGCCCTCCCGCCTCCTCCATGCCCTTCTTCCCTTTCACTCACCCCTGTTGCAAGCATTTCATGCTTCTTTTGTCCACGTCTGAGGATGAGGTCACCATTTGGGGGTGCTGGGGAGCTGGGAGTGGTGGTTCCCTTGAGTCTTTGGTGCCTCTAGACACTGCTGAGGCATTGACTTGGAGTTCAGCAGGCAGGGCCAGGGGAGGATGAAGTGGAGTCCTCTTGCCTTGACTGCCTCATGGCTGGTACCAATGGGGAATCTGCCAAAGCCCGTGTACAGGCCCTAAGCCCACAGAGGGGCCTCCCTCCTCTCTACCATCTTTCTTTGGTTAAACCATGGTGGAACTAGAAGAAAGACAGCAGTCTAATGCATGTGTGCATTTACATATACACAGCACAACATGTACACCCATAAAGCAGATGCTGTGCAAGTTTATTGATTGGCTTTCTTCAGTGGATGAGGACCCACTTCTGGGTGACAGGTTGGTCTTGGTTCTGACTCTGTCCACTCTGCTCCCTGTCTCCTCTTCTCCAGGGATTTAGAGTAGGTGAGGAGCATTGTGGTTGTGTTAATGTGGTTTGTGCTCTGAAGTTCATGGTCTATTGGGAAGTGTGTTTAGGGATCAGCCCTTGAAGTCATGAACTGGAGCTGATGCAGGCGGTGCTACGTTAGAGGTAGAAAGTGCTGTGTGCATCCCCCACTGGTCCACCAGCCACTTGACCCACTGTTGTGACCCTTCTAAGGAGAGGAATCCATTTCTGCCCTCGGAATTCATGGTCTCTCTGGGAAAGCCCTCCAAACAACAACAGCGGGGCCCAGCTGTGGCTGCATGACCCTGGGAACTCTTTTTTGTTTTTGGTACCAGGGATCGAACTCAGGACCTTGTGCTTGTGAGGCAGGCGGTGGAACCTCTGAGCTAAATCCCCAGCCCCGCTGGGAACTCTTCTTGAGCACCAGCGCTCGAGCTCAGAGTCTCAGGGTGCAGTAGGGTCCCCTCAAGGAAGGCTCAGTGATTCCAGGGAGGCCTTGCAAGGGGCAACCACACTGTGCAGAAGCTTCGAGGTGGAGGGATGAAAGGAGGGCAAGTTAGTGCTGTCTGGCTGTTGCAGATCGGGGGTCCTGGGAAAACCAAGGTACAGTTGGAGAGAGGGACTGTGTCACCCAGCCCTGCCCACCAGGCTGGATCCCTTCAACCTGTGGCCTTGTCAGCGGAGCAGCCCCACTTGGTTGCCAATTTGGGACCTGGGGAGAGACTGAGGAAGCTGTGGGAGGAAGGAAATAGGCGATTCTAGCTAAATTGGGGAAATTTTTGACTAAAAATGTCACTGATGAGATCCTTGTGTCATTCATGTGAATCTGTAGGTTGTGAGTGGTGGGGCCATGGTTTGTCACTTGGCCACATTTGGATGTTTGATGTCACCTTAATTGAGAGTTCCTCTCTGTACCAGGTAATTTGGAGCTGATTATGACGGTAGCAGTTTGACTTAGGATGGCAAAGTACTCCAGGGAGAACAGTCTACAACTTTGAAAATAAAATGAAAATGCTTATAAAACTAAACATGTACATTATGATGTATCATGACACTGCTGAAAGTAAATCACAAAACAGTTAAAATACAAAGTGTGGGAAGGTAAACACAGATATCCAGTACCCTCTACATCTTGCCTATTTTCACAGAGTATTTTCTGGTCCTATTGGTTGTGCTTAGATCCTGTTACCCACATGTTCTGTCCATCTCAGCAGGGCCTGGGCATCCTGGCTCTTGCTTGGGTCCAGAGTGGCCCACCTGCCCTTGCAGGAATAAACCAACACAGGGACTCACCTGGGTTTTCTTCTAAGCCACTTCCATTCCTGCCTTTCTCTCCAGGATGCATCTTTCCTGCCCTGAATCAGGTCTCCCCCTTGAGCTGCAGAGCCAAACCAGTCTCTCTGAGATTGGTGATGTAGTCATGGTTCTGGGTGCCCTAGTCCTAAGTGCCCCGCAGTACATGGGGTTCTTGTAGCCCTGAGAAGACAGAGTAAAAAGCAGCCCACTGGGGTGGGGCGGGCCCGACTCCCACTGCTATGGAACTCCACAGATCGGATCCAGGAGCCCCGGCTGGCTGGTTCTTCCTGAGCTGACCTCCTCATACTCTGAGGGTGAGGTTGGTCGTGACTGAGCCTCTTTTCATGAGGGCCCCCCTGAAAGCAAGCTTAACCCAGCTCCCAACCAGGCCCCATGGGGACTGCAGCCTACCAGTAAGGAGGCGAGGTTGGCAGCAAGAGAGAGAGAAGAGCTGGGAGGCTGAAGACTCTGCCTGTTCTTTTTCTCTAAAAACCAAATCTGGATTCCAGGAAGTGGTTGCAGACAGGTCCTTTATAAAGAAAGTGCCGTTTTTTTTCTGTGATGCTGCCTTTTTCCCAAAGGCAGGTGTGCTGGTTATAACTGGCCACTTTCTCAGTGAGTCCCTCCTCGATCTGAGGTTGCCCCGTAGGGAATATTGGGACATACCCTTGAGAAAAAGGGTGGCTCTTGGTGAGAAGTCCCTGGGAGGCCCATGCTGGAATCCTCCTTCATCTGGAGTAGCCCCTGTGACCACCGCCAGCCAGCAGGCTCCCGGGCAGGCGAGGCTCCTAAGGCCCATAGGACACCTCTCTTAGAGTACTGAACTTGCCCCACTCCATCCACCAATCATGTGAATTTATTTACACATCGAGTCTAGGGCCACTGAGTCCAGGGTTTCAGCGTGTGTCCAGGGACTAATGCTGTGAAGGTGAGCTTTGGTTGTTAGAGCTCAGGGCTGCTTCCCTGCCATGAGCGACTACCCAGGATTTTTCTCTGCTTGTGAGCACATTGGTGGCCACCCCACCTCCTCACATAAATGTCTGCTGGAGGCGAACACAGTGGCTCTCCCTGGCCCCCTGCCTTCACATTCAGCGGAAGTGGCCTCGGTGACTTCCGGTGGCTTGCTATTCCAGCCAGCCTCATGGGGCACCAACTTCATTCCCATTACCCTGCATTCTTTCTGTGCCCCATCTATGGACAGACTCCAGGGAAGGACCTTCCTTCTACAGAGCCTTTTGGGATTTCCCATGGTTACTCAAGAGTTCTCAAGTGGAACAATGGTCACCCAGGAGTTCTGTGTGTGAAATGGCCCAGGGCAGTTGAGTTGGGGACAGGGGGTGAAGACCTCGGGATGTGACTCCTTGCCTCGTTTTCTTGAGACTAGAGGACTCCTAAGTCAGCCTCAGGCCATTCCCACTTTCTCTTCTTGGAGTCCCAGCCTGCTCTTGACACCTTGTCCTTAAGGCTACAGTAATCTCTTGACTTTGCCCTCGAAGGGACTTTTCCGATGATCTCATTCTGCCCTGCCTTATACCCTAGCACAGTCCTCACAAAGGCACATGATCTGGTGGGTGGCTGTCCGATTTGAAAAGTTCTTCATGGAAAAACATTGGCATCATCTTAGTCATTCCTTCCAGTTCTTCCTTGAGAAGTTTTTCCTCAGGCCTAGCCTCACGGGTCTTGCTGATGTTGAAAGCCATTTTCTCTTGTCCATCAGCCGGAAGTGAGGTGCCACTTCCCCTCTGCCCCTTACTCCAGGCATCCTTCATCATTTGCAGGTGGCCCTCCTCCAGGCCCCCCACAGCGCAGTACATACCCGGTGTATGCATTCTCACTGGTGTTACCCTCTGTACCGGGCTGTTTTCCCTTCACCTTGGGTCCCCGAAGGGCTTTGAGTTCACTTTCCCTTGCTGCAGGACTAGAATATGTACAGGGACACAGCTGAATTTCAGAACCACCTACATGAAGTAGATTAAGGAACATAAGGTCCTTTTGGGATTAGGGGAACAGCGCCCCCCCTGGGTGCAGAGCATGGTGCCCCTGGGGCTCCCAAGCCTTTGTGTCTGACCATCATTTGCCCTTTTGGTTCCTCTCAAGGCTGAGACCTGTCTCCAGTCTCTGCTTGGCCAGCACTTGGTGCAGGATGTGAGCTTTGCCTTCCCAGTGGTGCCCCTGTTGGGCTTTCTGGGCATCCGGCCCATACTAAGTTGGTCCTTAAGTCTTTCCTTTTGTGTAGTGGAGGGTTTCTCTGAAGAACTGTGGGTCAAGAGCCTTGGGAAATTAAGCAGAGATCCTGAGAGTCCCTACTGTGTTGGGACCTTCTCCTGGGACTACCAGATTTGAATTCTCACATTTCCGAGATCCTGGCAAATCCAACCCAAGGTCCTAAGCTTTAGGATCCTGTTGTTTCTACTTTAGGGTCCTGATGGATTTCTAGGATGGGCATGTATTTCCTTACCTCGTTACCTAAACTGAGCATTTTCACTCCATCAGCCCCTGGATTAGTTTCTTCCCAACATGCATGTTGGGCCTCAAACTCAGGCCCTTCTCTGGGGGCCTGGGTCAGCCACTAAGGCCTCTCTCCAGCCCGGGGGGCTCTTCTGCCCTATGAGCCATGGCCACAGCCTGGCAAAGAGGATGGTGAGATACAGAGGAAGAAGGTGGTTTCAGAGCTCCAGGTTCCCTTCCGTTCACATGGAGCATGGGGTGGGAGAGGCTTTGTCCATGCAGGTGTGTCCAGGTGTCCCTGCGGCTGGGGCTGGCTGGTTGTGACTCTCTGTCTTGTTGCCAGGCGGAAACAGCAGCAAATCGCATCTGCAAGGTGTTGGCCGTCAACCAGGAGAACGAGCAACTTATGGAAGACTATGAGAAGCTGGCCAGCGATGTGGGTACCCACTGGGGTCTCTTGGCCTGATCCTTGCAAAGCCCTGCACCCTATCCTGAAAGAAAAGGAGCCCCCAGAATCTATCCCTGCAGATCCATCCTGGGGCACAGTCCCAGCTAGCCTAGCCTTTGATCCTCCCAGCTACCCTCAGGCACCTAGAGCCCAGCTCCAGCCCTCTTGGAAAGTGGGAAGGTGGGGCAGAGGCTGGTCTCTGGGCACAGGGCGCCTAGGACAGCCTTCACTCCCTGGCACTTGGGTTTTTTGTTTACCAAGTGACAGTTGAGCTCTCAGAGGCCTTGCCAGCTTGGTGTGCTGCTGCTCTCTCAGTTTTGCTAACTAGAACAGGGGTGCTTCTGGTGCTGAGAGGGTTCGATCAGGAGAAATCAGTGCTGACTCAGGTGAGCTGAGCACAGCTCCACCAGGGGACAGGATGGTACAGGGCTGGGGTTGCTGTCCCGACCTTGGCTACCCTTGGCTTGAGGTCCTACTTGCTTTTTCCCTAAAAGAATTCAACCCTGAGATGCTCAGCCAGGCCTCTTGGTAGATCTGTGCCCAGCATAGCAAAAACCAGTCCTGGGCTTAAGTGCCCACTGCACCATTCTGGCTGGGTCACTGTGGCAAGACAGGACCTGGCGGAGCCCTGGTTGCCCCATCCATGGCATGGGGGTGATCACAACACTGAAGCCCCACAGTGCTCCTGTTATCTGTGGGCCATGCCTGGCATTTTGTAGGTGTTCCACATATTTCTTGTCATCCGTCATTTCTGCTCCTCCACCAGCACCTTGGGTCACAGAAGGCAGCCCAGATTGTTCCCACCTGTGCTCTGGGCAGTTTCTACCCAAAAGCCAGCTGCTTCTCTTTTGGGTCAGAGACCCACATTCTAATATCTTAGAAGGTCCAGAGGCAAGGACTTCAGGGAGCAGCTGTTAAACCCCTCCATGGTACAGATGAGGAAACTGAGGCCCAACCCATTTAGGACCTAGACCCAGAATTCAGATCTGCTGCCTATTGGTTGAGCCATCGCTGATTCCCTTGCTGGCCAGTTGGGAGGGTGATGCCCCCTAGTATCTAGGCTTTGTGAGGCCTCTGGTTCTGGAGGAAGCACCCTAGGATGGTACTGGGGAGGGAGACCTGTTGCCCGCCCCCCAGGAGGATGGGCATTTGGGGAGGAGGGAAGCCAGTTCTCCCTCCATGCTGGCTCTGCACAGCATCCTCACTCGCTGCTTCTGGCCTCCCACCCCAGCTGTTGGAGTGGATCCGCCGCACCATCCCGTGGCTGGAGAACCGGGCGCCTGAGAACACCATGCACGCCATGCAGCAGAAGCTGGAGGACTTCCGAGACTACCGGCGCCTGCACAAGCCACCCAAGGTGCAGGAGAAGTGCCAGCTGGAGATCAACTTCAACACGCTGCAGACCAAGCTTCGGCTCAGCAACCGGCCCGCCTTCATGCCATCAGAGGGCAGGATGGTCTCGGTGAGCCCCAGGGAGCCTCAGCCTGGCCTGAGTTGTGACTGGAAGCAGCACTGCTGGGGAGGCGAGGGCAGGTCCCTCTGCCTGCGTGCACCGCCCCAGACGTCATTGCTCCCTTTCGGATTAGCGCTCGGGCTGCAGCCCAGATGCAATGGGATGGCCCCTCTCTCCCCTGACCACTCAGGGTCAGGCTTGGCTTAGACTCCTGAGTGTCCACCCTGGACTTCCCAGCACTCCTCCTCAAAAAACACATCCTTGTCAGCAGAAGGCCCTGCACACACTGAACTAAGCAGTGAAGTTAAGTTTTACTTTTGTGGTCTCTTAAGTACTTAGAAAAAAAAAAAAGCATACATACATTTATTATCTTAAACGAGTAATAGACTTTTTAGGTAAGGTATTTCAAAAGCATAAATAAGTAAATAAGATACAGAAAATAGGAATTATTCATAATTATACTACCCAGTATCAATATTTTAAGAAAAAATTTGAAGAGATCTTTTGTCTTTCTGTGTCTGTTAAGGGCACCTTAAAACATGTTTTATATAATAAGCTACTTCAAAAAACAAAACATATGGGCTGGGGATTTAGCTCAGTGGTTTCGCTGCCTGCTGTGCAAGTGCAAGGACCCAAATTCGATCCCCAGTACCAGGAAAAAAAAAAAAAAATCTGACACATTGAGACCATCTTTTTCTGCTATTCATTCCCCTTTACCCTATCCTCAGGACTTAAAAAATTTATAAGACCAGAGAACCATACAGAAGAAATGTAATACACGCGCTTTGGCAGAGCCTTTTGTCCTTTGAAAAGAAGCATAACAAGGATGTTCAGGCATCTCGGCAGCCTGGAAGGGGCTGGGCAAAATGCATACTGGGAAGAGGCGGGGTCAGGGGCTCCCCAAGGGAGAGAAAGCACCTTCAGTGTGGCTCATTCATTCACTTTGGGAAACCAGTCCTTTCAGGTTCTGAACCAGTAGCTTTCAGGTGGTAGAGGGTACACTGGAGAAGTCAGAAAAGTGCCCTCCTGTGGGGCGGGTGCCACCCCAGGCACTTGGTGGGGAAGATGGAGTGCAGGCCCTGTTCAGCCCAGTTGTGCTCACTGTGCGGCCTTGAGCTGACTGTGAGGGTGGCCCAGTCAGAAGGGCTGTGTGGGTTTGCATTCGGTACCTGTCCTCCCTGCTCTGGCCTGGCTCTCCCAGCAATTTCCCAGAGGCCTGAATCCAGGAGTGTGGGGCGGCTGGGCAGCTCCAGTGCCTGCTTGTGTGTTCATGGTTGCTCCAGTTCCATGAATGGCCCCTACGCCTCTGTAGTTGACCAGAGTCCTGTCGGATGCCAGGGTGGGCAGAGGTGGCCTTGGCTCCTTCCCCCAGGGCTCCACCCTGAAAGCCCCATAGCTAGGTAGTCCGTGTGGACCCAGGCCCCTCTCCCTCCTCTTGGGAGCACAGGGCTTGCCAGCGGGTGGTGTTGGGGGGCGGCCTGGCTGCATGGATATGGGGCTGAGGTGGGGAAGGCATGGAGTAGCTGTCGGGGCTCCATGGGTTGGAGGACCTGGGCCCAAGCCAGGCCCTGTCTTACCCTGCACTTCCATTGCTTATCCCCACAGGATATCAACAATGCTTGGGGCTGCCTGGAGCAGGCGGAGAAGGGCTACGAGGAGTGGCTGTTGAATGAGATCCGGAGGCTGGAGCGGCTTGACCACCTGGCAGAGAAGTTCCGGCAGAAGGCCTCCATCCACGAGGCCTGGACGGACGGTGAGGCCAGCCCTGGTCCCCCTGCCCCCCCACCCCGGCCACAACTCCTGGCTTTTGTTTGTTTGCTCCTGTCTATTACTAGTTCATGAGCCTTTTGCTTGCCTTGGGTTCCTCATCTGTAAAGTGGGGGTGATAGCAGTACCACCAGCCTTGTAGATTCGTGAGAATTAATCACTGGGGACTTGACACTGTGTAGACTCATTGATAGGTGGAGCTCAAAACCCTAAGGCTCCCCCCAGCCCTGTTTTGTGCCCTTTGGATCATAGGTTGGAGATGAATAGCGAAGGCTACCCTTTGTAGCCATTTGGGAGTGGCCAGGCTTGATGTAGGGGACAGGAGGTGTTTGACCCAGCAGAGGGGTGTGAGTCACATCCTGTGGTCTGTATTGGTACAGAGTGGGAGGAGGTGATGGAGGCAGTGTTGATTGCTCACTTGTTGCCATGGAATCCTTTCCTGTGCCAAGGACAATTCACAGCCACTGTGTAGAGCAGTGGTGGGGAACCCATGGCATGCGTGCCATAACAGGCTATTTGTTAGCTTTGAAAGCTCTAAAAGGTTCACCATCACTAGTATAGAGCGAGGGTGGTCCTGTCTGTGTCATGCACACACCCGCTTGCCAGCCACCAGGAAGGACATGAGGGACACTGACTACCAGCACAGCCTCTGGGGAAGCAGTTGGCTGTCTACCTTTACACCTGGTGATTTAATCCAGCACAGTCTAACCTAAGAATTCCACTTCTTGAGATTGTCTAAGGAATTAACCCTAACAGCCAGGGATGTAACTCAGTGGCGCTGCACCTGCCTGGCAAGTGCAAAGGTTCTGAGTTCAATCCCTGGTTCCACAAAAAAAGAAAAACAAAAACACCACTAAGGAATTAACCCTAAGTATGGAGAAGTGGCATGCATGGGGACACTGGCAATGAGATAACTGCCACCATCCAAGCTGAGGGGCCGGAGTGCCCTACAGCAAGGAGGCAGTGGTTCCATGAGCAGGGAGCAGTCAGAAGAATGGTACAGCTCGCCTTCCCTGTGGTGGCTTCTGTGTCTGTGGATTCACCCAACTGAGGACTGAAGCATTCATTAGAAGCAGTAAGGAATTGCATCTGTACTGAACACGTACAGGCTGTTTTCCTGTCAGTGTTCCCTAAGCAGTACCGTGTAATGGCTACTTACATAACATTTACATTGTATTAGGTAACACAAGCAATCTAGCAGTGACTTAAAGTATACAGGAGGGTGTACATAGGTGACATGCAAATATGGTGCCATTTCATAGTAAGGACTTCAGCATCTGCAGATCATGGTACTTGCTGAGGATGTAGGAACCAGTCCCCTTGATACTGATGGATGCTGTACATGGGATGACAGCAGAAATTCTGAAATGTGCACTTAAATATTTTAAGAGCAGGAAACAATTTATGTGCCCAGTTTTTTTGTTTTGTCCTTTTGAAATGGATCTTGATATATTGCCCAGGCTGGATTTGAACTCCTGGGCTCACGGGAGCCTCTCACCTCTGCCTCCAGAGTCGCTGGGACTACAGGTGTGCCATGGTGGCTGGCTTCTAGTGGTAAAACATAATATCTACAGAAGGAAAAACAAAACTGGGTGAGAGTAAATAAGTAGGTTTATGTGTCATTTTGCCCCTACGCGTGTTATATTGTTAGTCTGTTGTTGAAAGAAAAGAGACTAGAGGGAAAGAAAGAAATGCCAGATTGGGTGTCACAACTCGCAGCTGAGCCTTCTTTACTGAGGGGCTGAGCGTCGTCATGACATCATAGACTCAGGGTGGCAAGTGAGCAAGGCCTGTCCAGCCCCTGCCCTGTGCCCATCCTTCACGAGGCAGCTGGCAGCCCGTCTCACAGGACCTGTGGAGGTCATTTCTCACCCGTCTTCTCCTATGGAGACAGAAATCCGAGAAATACAGTCCTGGCTCTGCCCCACACAGAGGGCAGTGCCCCTAATGGTCAGAGAAAGCTCTGGCCACCAGTGGGTTTGGGGCACAGTGCTCTGATGTGCTGGTAGCACTGAGAGTGATTAGGAGGGGTCCCTGCAGGTCTGCTGGTGACAGTGACAGTAACTGGAGAAATTCGGAAGGTGGGGCCACTGAGGTGCTTGGTTTGCCTTTTTCCTGGTTGTACCACGGGGTGTAGATGGCTGTATGTCTTAGTGTTTAAAGTGAGTGTTTGGCTCGGTACTTCCCACGCCTTACTGCACAGCCTTCCCACATAACCACTTTAGATGCCCTAGGAATGTGCCCTTGCTCCCCATAATGGGATGTTCTGGTACACATCCGCTTTCTCACACTGGGTCACTGTGCGATGGATGCCTCCAGGGGAAGAACCCCCAAACTTGAAGCTCCTGGGGCCCAGAGAATTGGATGGCTGGGGTCCTGAAGATGCACCCCATTTTCCCGACTCCCGCTCAGCTCCAGCCCCTCTGTCTGAACCCAGGCAAAGAGGCCATGTTACGGCAGAAGGACTACGAGACGGCCACCCTGTCAGAGATCAAGGCCCTGCTCAAGAAGCATGAGGCCTTTGAGAGCGACCTGGCCGCCCACCAGGACCGAGTGGAGCAGATCGCAGCCATCGCACAGGAGCTCAAGTAGGCCCGCCACACACCCCACCCTTGGATGCCCCAGTGCAGGGTGCTTTTGCAGCTGTGGTAGGGTTGGGGGAGCTATGGAGAGGGAGGGGGTGTAAAATGGTGCCAGGTAGGAAGGGAGTTGTTACAGAGGACAGGAACTGCCCACTCCTCCTGCTGAGGACAAAGCTGGGCATGCCCTGTTCTGGGCCTACAGTCACCATCTGTCACTAGTGTAGGACCAGAGGATGACCAAGCGTTGGTTCTGGACACTGGGCTTTCTCCTTGTGCCATTGGACATCAGGTCAAGGCTGGTATCATCCCCAGCTTTGTTGAGGTAGCCGTTGGGGAGGAGGACTGGCCTTCTTCCATCTCCTGCCTCTGGTCTCCTGAAAGCCAAGGATTTGTATTGGCAGGGACCCTGGTAGGGCTGCTTTAGGGAGAGGGAGAGCAGGCCCCAAATTAGCCTGTATCACCTAACTTTCTCATCTCTTGCCTCCACAGTGAGCTGGACTATTACGACTCTCCCAGTGTCAATGCTCGTTGCCAAAAGATCTGTGACCAGTGGGACAATCTGGGGGCCCTAACTCAGAAGCGGAGGGAAGCTCTGGAGGTGAGGGCCCTGGGTGGGGGGTGGGGAAGCCAGCAGCTCTCTGGGTGGCCCTTCCTGCTTTTTGGTTCTCTTTACTTTAAGATTCCATGGAGCCAGGTGTAATGGCACATGGCCTGTAATCCCAGAATGCTTGAGCCCACTCTGGGCAACTTAGCGAGACCCCGTCTCAAAAAATAAAAAGATTGGGGATGTAGCTCAGTGCAAAGGCCCTGGGTTCAATCTTCAGCCCTGAAGGTAGAAAAAAAAGAGAGACTATGGGTTCCCTGGACTGTCCTCAGCCCTGGCCTGACTGGGAGACTCACTTTGGCAGGCATTCACTTGCCCCGTGGAGATGCCTCCTTTCTTGCGCAAACCCTCTCTCACTTAACAGCCCAACCTTGGCTGTGTGACAACTTTATTGTTCAGCAAACTGGACTCTGGGGCCCAGGCCAGGTGCCTCCAAGGAGGCACAGTGGGGCACCCACCCAACCCAGAGGACCAGTGCCCAGGCAGCCTGTACTCCTGCCTGTGCAGTCACAGTGGGCTCACCATGAGGATCCTATGGGGGTGAGGTGCTCTGGAGGCCACAGTACTAAACACAGTACTGACCCTCTTTGGGACTGCCAGCGGACAGAGAAGCTGCTGGAGACCATTGACCAGCTGTACTTGGAGTACGCCAAGCGGGCTGCACCCTTCAACAACTGGATGGAGGGGGCCATGGAGGACCTGCAGGACACCTTCATCGTGCACACCATTGAGGAGATCCAGGTGTGCCACACCCCTCCCCAGAAGCTGCTGGCTCATGATCAGAAGTCACACTTCCCTATAGGGTAGGGTAGACTGAGGAAGCACATCCCAAAGATTTCATACATTTGAAAAATTTGCACGTTATTTGATCATTTTATTTATGCATATAGTATAACATACAAAAAATAAAAGGGGTGTATGAATAAGGTCTCCCTACCCCTGTACCCCCCCAATCTCTGCATACACAAATGTATTTACATGCTTTCTCTGTACCTTTTTCTAAAGATACACAACAAGCAGCTTTTATTATATACTATATCCTTGACTTTATTTTATTCTATAACCTTGACTTTTAATTTACCATTTATCTTGGAGCTGACTTCATATCAGTTAACATCTTCCCCAACTTTTATGTAACTACAGGATATTAGATTCCCAAGGTTTTACATAGAACTGAGGAACGCACTGTTGGGGGAGGTCACCAGGGAGCAGAGGTCTGGGGCCACCCTTGTTCTTGATCCGACTTCCAGGTGGTAAATGGCTAGGGTGACCACTCCCAAGGACGCATCTATTGGTCTGGTGGCTCTGGCTTCACCTTCCTGGAGCCACCCTGCCTTCCTGGCTGTCATTGAGATCTGATTAGGTGGCTCCTCTGATTAGGTCTCTGGGTCCTGGCCTCCCACTTGAAGCCTTCCTTTGTTCATTCTGCCTGAGGAACTCACTGGGTCTGTACTGATTCTTCATCTTCATGTCTGTCCAGGGGCTGACCACAGCCCACGAGCAGTTCAAGGCCACCCTCCCTGATGCGGACAAGGAGCGCTTGGCCATCTTGGGCATCCACAATGAGGTGTCCAAGATTGTCCAGACCTACCACGTCAACATGGCGGGCACCAACCCCTACACAACCATCACTCCTCAGGAGATCAACGGCAAATGGGACCACGTGAGTTGGTGGGCTGGGCCTGAGGGCACAGGCTGAGCCATTGCACATTTCATGAGGGCAGGGATTTTTGTCTTTAAAATTGATTCTTAGGCTGGGGATTTAGCTCAGTGGTTCCGCCGCCTTCCCTACAAGCACAAGGTCCCGAGTTTGAACCCCGTACCAAAAACAAACAAATTAAAATTGATTCTCATTGATTTCATTTGCTTAATTGTCTCATAGTAAACACTCATTATTTGTCCATATAGCAAGTGAATTTCTGGAACAGGTTGACATCCTCGCTCCTGTTCTGTTCTCACCAGCCCTCTCCCCTCATGGTTCTTCCATTTCCTCACCTGGCATATGGGGCAGATGGCTGGCCCATCCTCAGAGTCTTGTGGTTGTTCCTGCCCCAGGTTCGACAGCTGGTGCCACGGAGGGACCAGGCTCTGACAGAGGAGCATGCCCGTCAGCAGCACAATGAGAGGCTCCGCAAGCAGTTCGCAGCCCAGGCCAACGTCATTGGGCCCTGGATCCAGACCAAGATGGAGGTGAGTTCCATGGTGGGAAGCAGACTGGGGTCTTCCCACCCCTTCCCAGCAGCATCCCTGCCAACCAGGTTGCCGGTGTCTTGGGCAGATCCATGGAGAACTGAGGTCTGAACTCACAGTTGCAGGGGTGTGGATCCCGTGAGGGAAGGCTGATGGCTGGATCCCAACGTCTGATTTGGGAACCAAGATTAACACAATAAATATGGGAAAGTCCCCGAGGAGAAGCAGCTCTTGAATGCCCCAGGCAGCTTCATCCCTTTGGCATAGTTCAGTGGCCAGGCCTCCCCTTCCTGTTACTGCTCCCTGGACAATGGGCTTGGGCTCTCCTTAGTCAAGTGTAAAACTTTCTGTTGATTTGTGTGGACTAGACAGTGGGACGGTGCAGAAGATGAGAGAAGGGACACAGTTTGGTGAGGGAGAGTGTGGTCATGTTCATGCTGGTGTGTGCACCCTCCCCCTCCCCCTCCCCTGTGCTTAGTAAATGCTCAGGAAATGTTGCCAACACCAAATTGAATAGATGGAAAGTGCTTTCACAGACAGGGTCTGCTTGTGTGGGTGAGTGACAGGCAGAGGTCTCTGGGCATTAGGCCTGGCCTGTGGGAAGGGTGGGGCTCAGGAGGGCCAGGGCAGGCAAAAGAATAGGACTGAGAATGTGGCCAGGGGTGCTGAAACTGTGGGGTCCTAGCTCAGTGGACACAGGGAGATCCCTAAGATGGGTAGTGACCAGGAACAAGGCCTGGGAAGGGGACTTGAATGGCAAGCAAAGGAGTGGACAGCAACCAACTTTACATCCCTTTGCTGAGGCTGACAGATACTTGAGAGATGGGAGTGGTTCCATCCTATGATGTTTTTTATACACCTTGATGGTGCTATTTCCATACCAGGGAGCACTCAGGCCAGATGTGTCTTGCTGATACCAGTGTTGGTCTCCCTGAGAATCATCCTGGGGCCTAACTAGTGACCTTGGGGCCAAGGCCGCACCCAGTGGGTGCAGAGTGGGGTGATCTGACAAGGTGCCTCCCTCTGGATGAGCAGGAGATCGGGAGGATCTCCATTGAGATGCACGGGACCCTGGAGGACCAGCTCAACCACCTGCGGCAGTATGAGAAGAGCATCGTCAACTACAAGCCAAAGATCGACCAGCTAGAGGGCGACCACCAGCTCATCCAGGAGGCGCTCATCTTTGACAACAAGCATACCAACTACACCATGGAGGTGGGTAGGGCCGGCCTTTGTTCTGTAGGCTGGAGCCTGTGTCCTCTTCGGTCCTCTGCCTGGGCTGGTGTCGGGGTAGGGGGTGATTATCCGTCTCCCAAGGAGTCTAGTCATGATAGGAAGGTAAATGCTGTTCACTTTTCTTCACCCATGAAGCTGAAGTCTTTGATCTGTAGAGCCTTCTGAGTGCTCTAGGGAACTTGCTGAGAATGCACCTTTGTGGGCCTGGTTTCCAGAATTCAATTCACTAGTCCCAGAGCTCAGAAATATCTACTTTTTTTTGGTACTGGGGATTGAACTTGGGATCTTGAGCTTTTGAGGCAGGCAGTGGAATCACTGAGCTAAATCCCTGGCCCAAGTTATTTCTACTTTTAATAAGCACCCACAGCGATTCTGATGCTGGTGGGCTCCGTGCACTGGCTTGGGTACCTGCTTCCCAAAGGACTACAGCTACATGTTGGTTAGTGATGGGAAATGTTCTGAGAAACATGTCGGTAGGCACTTTCCTCATTGTGTAGATATCACAGCGTGTGGTCACACAAACTAAGATGGCTACAGTGTCACCACGGGATCACTGTGACCACTGTCATATATGTGCCTGTCATTGATCAGGTCATTATGTGGCAGTTCGATGTTCCTGTTATGACTGTAAAGGCATGTGTGTGCTTGTGAACATTTATGTGTGGTTGTGGTTGTCCTTTAATCTTTCTCACTATGAAATCCGCCCCTTCCCTACCAACGCCATTGACAGGTCCTGGTCTCACTGCTGTCCTAGGAAGAGGCCAGCAGCCTCTCCCCTTCATCCTCTAGGGCCCTGCGTCCTGGTAGGTTGTCCTTGGCCTGGTTCTCTTCGCTCTGGTGATACTGTGACTCCAGGTAGAAAGCCAAGTTTGACTACTTCGGCTGTTTTCCATAGTCCAGAGGAGGAATGTGCAGGAGCAGCCTGGAGCACAAGCCTAGGGCCCCTTTGCTGACAGGCCTTTCTCTGCCCCCAGCACATCCGTGTGGGCTGGGAGCAGCTGCTCACCACCATTGCCAGGACCATCAACGAGGTGGAGAACCAGATCCTGACCCGGGATGCCAAGGGCATCAGCCAGGAGCAGATGAACGAGTTCCGGGCCTCCTTCAACCACTTCGACCGGGTGAGAGTGTGCTCCTCGCTCCCTTAGAGGGGCCCCCAGCCCCTGCCCCAGGGCCCTGGAGGGCACTGCCCAGGCCATAGGCCACCATGCCAGGCAGGTTCTTGGGCACATGAGGAGGAAGGAGAGGAACCACTGTCAACCTGGCCTGGCTCACTGAGCCCCAAGGAGCTGGCCGAGGAGCCTTCGTGCTGTCCCATCACCTTCCCTGCTTTCCAGGACAGTACTCGTGTTGGGGGAGGGGGTGCCTTTACCCGTGGCTCTTGCTCTCCTACCAGGAGGAGTCAGCCCACCAGAGTCTAAGTGAAGACCCACTGCCCTGGCTGTGGGGACTGTCCTCAGGCGAAGGAGCAACTCCTTCCTGCCCTGCCCTGCCCAGGAAGCCTGTGTCCTGGGTTCTCATCTCAGCTTGGGACAGGGCGGGTTTTCAGTGGGTCGCCCCTTCCCAGTGCCCTGGGGCTGGGGTGGCCACTGGGGTGCGGGAGCATGGGGTCAGGGGCTGCCCACCACCCACCTGCTTCACCGTCCTCCAGGCACCTGGGTGGGCAGAGCCCTCGGGGACAGCAGGGTGGCCTGGGGCACTTCTGGGGGAGCTTCTCACCCTTGTGGCTCATTGTGTTCCCCTCCAGCGCCGCTTCCCGGAGCAGGGCTCCGTGGGCCAGGGCAGGGCCCCCTCTGGAACCTTGTCCGTGTGTCTAACTGTGTTCACTTTTATTTCCCCTCTCCCCCACCCCTCCACCCTCCACCCTGTCCGTCCGCATGCCTTTGTCCCATGTCTCCCCACACACGCCACCCTCTACCCCGGGGCATGGCCCTCCCCTGCCCCTCACGACCTTCACCTCCCTGGCACCGCATGGCTCGCTGCCTGGCGCACCACGGCCCCAGGACCACTCCGGCACGCTGGGTCCCGAGGAATTCAAAGCCTGCCTCATCAGCTTGGGCTATGATATTGGCAACGACCCCCAGGTACTGCCTCCTGCATGGAGCACGCTCAGGGGTGACCGCGGGGCAAGAAGTAACTCGTTTCTTCTTTTTCTCTTCTCTCTCCGTCTGGATCTCTTCGTCCCTCTTCCTGTGGGCCGTGGGGCTCATCCTCCTGCTGTCCCTGCCTGCCCTGTGCTGGGCTCCTCCTTCACCTCTCCGACCTCTGACCTCGGTGTCTCTCATGGGAACCTGCTGGTGCCCGCCTTCCTCTCTTCTCATCGCTCCTCATCCTGTGGACGGATTTTTGCATCTCCCTGCTCTATCCGACTTTTCTGTGGACGTTTTCCCTGGACATTCCTCCTGTGTTCCTCTTTCCTTCCTGACTCTCAAACCATGAACCTCACCCTCCCCTTGGGCCACCTGTACCCTGTCTTCCTGGCCCTGGGGTGGTCCTTCCTCCTCCCGCCTGTCCCTCCCTCCTGTCTTGGTACCGCTGCCCCACAGAAGAAGACAGGCATGATGGACACGGATGATTTCCGGGCCTGCCTTATCTCCATGGGTTACAACATGGTAATGTAAACGTTGGCCTCTGTCTGCCCAAGAGGCAGTGACTCACTGGCTGGAGAGGCCAAGTCCTCACAACATACACTTGAGGCCCTGGAAAGGGTCGCCCTCCCTGGAGAAGCCTCCAGTCTCCAGTTCTTGGGGAAGACAGCACCCTGAAAACTGAGCCCAGCCATGTGGCCTGTGTGTGGCCAGGAGGCCTGGCTCCATTGCCCCAGTCCCTACACACTGGCTCACCTTCTGGTACTCACCATGGAGACGGGGCTCCCACTCCCACAGTGGACAGCAGGCTGACCCCCAGGCTGGCAGTTAGGACAGTCCATGGGGTTGTCTCTCATGAGGCATGAAGCCTTAGATTACTACCTCTGCTCTGGCAGTGGCTCCAGCCAGGCCTGCCACACCATTCTGCCATTGTCCCATGCTCTGCTATAACTTTAGTGTGCCCTCCCTTACCAGGTTTCTGAGCAGGACAAGGTGCTTAGTTGGGCAGTCAGGTGACTCCTAGCTGTGACACAAAATGGTGCCTACAGGCCACTCAGCACGGGCAAGGGCTGGGCTAGAAGCAGTGAACTTGAGAATAAATCCCAGCTCTGCCATCACGTGTTTGTGGCCTCACATGAAGTGAGGGGGACCCCAAAGACAGCTGTAAGGATTAAATGAAGGAACTTAACAAGTGTGGTGCACATGCCTGGCACTTAGAAAACAGAGGCATAGAGAAAACAGATTTTGGGGCCAAAGTGCCAGAGTTCAAGACCCAGCTCCCTACTCACTGGCTGTGACCATGGGCCAGTCACTAAGCCTATCTGTGCCTCAGAGTTTTCATCTGTACAATGGAAATAAGATTTTATATAGTTATGGTGAGGACCAAATGAATTAAAATATGTAAGGCATTTAGAACAGTATCTGGCATAGGGTATGTGGTGTGTGGGTGGTAGCCATTGTTGATGTTATTGTTACCAGTGTTACTGTTTTCTCCAAGGGGATTTCAGGCACCTGTAGGAGGTAAGGGTGCTAGGGTAGGTAGGTCTCCACTATTAAGTGCTAGGTAATGACTTTCTGGTCAACCCAGGGTAGGTCAGGGGCCACCGTGCCCTCTTCTGCCAACCACAGGATACTCTGAGCCCCAGGGGCTTGAGATCTGTCTGAGAGATTCTCAGCAGGCTGTGGGCTGACAGGCCTGGGTTGGCTGTTCCTCCAGGGAGAGGCAGAATTTGCCCGAATCATGAGCATTGTGGACCCAAACCGCCTGGGGGTAGTGACATTCCAGGCCTTCATTGACTTCATGTCCCGAGAGACGGCTGACACAGATACAGCAGACCAGGTCATGGCTTCCTTCAAGATCCTGGCTGGAGACAAGGTGGGTCTCCTATGGCACAGGCCCAGCGCTGGGGTGACAGACACTGGGTGGACTCTGCCCAGAAGGACTGAGATGTGAACACCTCAACTGCCCCTTCTTCTAGGGTCCTGTGGGGCCACTGGTTGGTGTGAAATCTTTATACATTTCAGCAATACCAGGGGCTCGGTAGAGGTATTAGGACATGGTACTAACCTAAGGTGTTCCCTGCAGGGGCCACTGTGTGTCAGTGAAGGACCCTTCACCTGGTAAAGAAGCGATGGGAGCAGAGAGCAGTGGAGTGGGTTAGGGTGTGGAGAGACAATGAAAAGTTCACCTGAGAGTGGACTCGAACTTAATCGTCACATCCTATTGGGCACAATCCTGCTGTGGATCATAGGTGGGGAGCAGGAGGGAAGTCTATCTTGGTCATTTTCTACTCTGAGCAGTGGCCTGCTTCTGACTTCCAAATCTTCCAGGTACCTGGCAGTGGAATAGTTGGGGGGGATCCAGAGCGGCTGTCTCTAGAGAAGCCCGAAGCCCAGCCAAGTTTTGAGTTTCGGCAGCAGTCATGGGACCTGGATTTCACTCAGATCCATAGCCATCTTGAGCCTAGGGACCTGAAGGAATCTGCTGGAGCCAGAATTCCTGTGATATTATGGAAGAGACTGAAGGAAGACCCAGGGAAATTTGGGGAAGGGGTATCTGAGTGAAATTCACAGGGTAATCCATAGGCCATCCTTCTGCCAGAACTGAAAAGATTCAGTTATTAAAAACAAAAGCGGGCCAGGGATTTAGCTCATTGGTTCTGCTGCCTGCCTCGAAAGCACAAGGTCCCTAGTTCAATCCCCAGTATCAAATAAATAAAAGCCAGCTGGGAGTATAATTTCTAAAATGGGTACCTATAAGGTAATAAAGGCTGAAACTACAAATCATCTTGTCCCTCAAGATGATTTAATTTCAAGGATACCCTCAAAGTCAGAACAACTTGGAGCTAGGAGGATACTTGGAAACCATCTAGTTTTAATGACTCATTTTGGAAAGGAGGAAAACAGGCCTAAATAAGGGCTTGCTCTCCTGACTTATGGGGTGACCACAGGACAGCCCTATTTACCCATGGTTTCCAGGGGACTCAGAAGTAGGACGTGGTGGTGGTGGTGGTGATTACGATGTGGGTCGGGCTCTCCTGAACCTTCAAACTCCCAAAAGCAGCAGCTTACTACGGACAAGCTGGAGGAGGAGGAGGCAGACACCCAGGCCGGGCGCTGGCTGGAATGGGGCAAGGCCCAGGCTTCCAGACTGGTGAAGACAGCTGGGCAGATTTTGGGTGCTATCTCTGGCACCCATGCCCAAACTGGATACTGGTCTTCATTGGCTCCTTAAAATTAGACTTAAAAGTGGCCACCAGAGAGCCCAGTGGAGAGGTGTGCATTTTGCGTGTCCCACCAGAGTGCCTGCTGGTATTGCCTGGCACTTACATACTGGGGACTAGGGTGACACATTATAGGTGTAATTAGCATGTGGGATTAGTTTGGAAAGAAGCCGCAGTAGGTAATGAAGTGGAAAACAAGTGGTTTTAAAGTATATATCTCATGTATATACGTATATAAACAGACATGTGGATGGATGTACATAGATCCAAAATAGCTACGAGTGAAAAATGGGGCCTGGCCTGGGTACCTAACGTCAAGGGAAAGTTTACAGCTGCAGGGTTTGCAGCAGCACGGCGCTGCTTTACGGCCACAGGGCTTTGGGACCCTGATCACGCTGTCTCCACAGAACTACATCACGGTGGACGAACTACGCCGGGAGCTGCCCCCCGACCAGGCCGAGTACTGCATCGCGCGCATGGCCCCGTACGCCGGCCCCGACTCGGTGCCCGGTGCTCTGGACTATATGTCCTTCTCCACGGCGCTGTACGGCGAGAGTGACCTCTAACCCACCGAGCCCCTCCGCCCCGCGCCGCCCCGCCACTGTCCCGTTCTCCCGCCGGGTTCGGTTTCCGCGCTCAGCCTCGGCCGCGGGTGCGCTGGGCCCTATGGCCTCGAGCCCCCCTGCCCGCGAAGTGACAGTTTACAAGATTATTTTCTGCAAAAAAGAAAAAAAAAAGTTACGTTAAAAAGTAAAAAAAACAAAAAAACTACATATTTTATTATAGAAAAAGTATTTTTTTCTCCACCAGACGTAAATGGAAAAGAGGAAAAATTAACTATTTGCACCGAAATGTTTTTGTTTTATTGTGACATAGGAAAATAACCAAGCACAAAGTTATATTCCAGTCTTTTTACTGATTTTTTTCTTCGATCTGTTCCATCTGCTGTATTCATTCTCCGATCTCATGTCCACCCGGTTGGGGTGGGGGTAGGGGTTACTCTCGTCGGAAGGCACATTGGTGCATGTGTGTTTGCTAGCTCACTTGTCCATGAAAATATTTTATGATATTAAAGAAAATCTTTTGAAACGGCTATTTTAAAGGAAGATAATTTATGTGGCTTCCCGTTTTTAAGTCTCTAGAGGTGTGGCTAGCATCTTTATCAGTGCAAACTTTAAGAAACACACTGCCTATTAAAAGTAGGACCAACGTGGAGATTATGGAGAAGTTTGATATTGCTTGGCACAGATCACATTAAAACAACGCTACCACGACAGCGCTTTGTTTGCTCATTGCTTGCTGTTGGAACTTTCCTGTTCCTCCCTCAAATGTTCTTTTGATCCTGGTGTGTTCAGTCTTCTTTCACTTGAGGTGTTTTCATTTTGAAAGGAAAAGGTGATTTCCTCACAGGACTGTGTTGCAAATAAGGTCATGAATGTGTAAGGGACTTGATAGGCCCGACCTCCGTTTGTTCTCCACAGCCTCAGACAGCTCTGTGACATCTGAATGTCTCTCACTCCTTTGATTTTTACCGAGAACAGAGTCGTCTTAACTCTTCCTATTGAAAATGTCCGCAGAAGGTGAGGGTGTAGCTCAGTGGTAAAGCACATGCTTGGTTTGTGCAAGGCCCTGGTTCAATCCCCAGCACCAAAAAAAGAAGGAAGAAAGTCCCACAGAACAGCTATGCAACGTCATCTGAACACGTTGGAAATTCAGAATCTCAGGTCCTGCCCCAGTCATATAGAATCAGAACCTACATTTTTAATAAGACCTCTCAAGTGGTTTCTTCTCTCCTTTCTTCTGTTTCCCCGTCTCCTCCCTGAGGCTTTCATTCAAAATGCAGGGCAGTCATTAACAGAACAGTGTAATGTAGAAACATAACTTAGCTTCTGAGGTCATATGTCTGTTTGGAAATTTGTCCTGCAATCAGATGAGTTCAAATCAGAGTCCTTTTTTGTTTTTTGAACAAGGTCTCACTATGTAGTTCAGACTAGTGCCGAACTCATGGCAATCCTCCTGCCTAAGCCTCCAAAGTGCTGGGGTTACAGGCATGTGCCATCATGCCTGCCTACAATGCCTTTTGGTGGTGGTGGTTGTTTTGGTACCGGGGATCGAACTCAGGTCCTTGCGCTTGCGCAGCAGGCAGCGAAACCACTGAGCTAAATCCCCGGCCCTACAATGCCTTTTTAAAAATGTGTAAATGGTGCACTACAGCTTCCTTCCCAGTTAGGTAGAGATAGTACTATTGTGAAGTTGATGGCATAACAGAGCCCGTTAAACACTAGTAATATGACTATTAGCTGTGACCTAATTTTAAGCTTTGAGGGCCGTCTTAAAAATAGAATTCTTAACAGGATATAACCCCTCAGTTAAGGAGACGAGGTCTGAATTAGAACTCACTGGGCTGGAATCAGATGTGAGAGTCCTCCTTGGGAGGTCCTCGTTTAGGGATTGAGTGAGTTTCTGAAATACCTGTATCCTTGGGAAAGAGCCCCTGGACAGAAGGGCTGCTGGGAGACGACCTGGGGTGAGAAATCGGCCTTTGCTTTGGGAAGCACACTTTAGCTTTTCCCACTGATGGCTAGAAAGTCAGTGCTCCATTTTGATCTGTCATGGCTGAATCTGAAGAAAACCGTGGCTCAAGACAGATCCTGGTTTCCAGAGGACGGAACACAAATTTTGAGAGAGGCAGGCACACTGGTCTTCTCTATTTCCATGCACATCTAAGAGCAAAGTGGAATAGGAGTTCAGGAGAGGAAAAAATTCCAGTAAGAAAGTTTTCTCAATCCTAGGTGGAAGTACTTCAGTACCTCAATTTTCAGAGCCTTATCATTGCTCGTTTTTTGAAAATGTGTGTAAATCAGGTTTTTGAAGCAAAATGTTTATTGGTTCATTTTAGATAAACGCAGTGATAACACTCATCGAGGGAGTCTGTACCTGTATGTGATATATCTTGCTTTTTCCCCCCATTCCCCCTCCCCTTGAGCCCCCCTCCCCTCCCTATATGCAAAAGCTTTGTTTCCGTTTTTTCCTTCTATTTTAACTTTTTTCTTGTCCCTTTCTCCTCCCTCCCCCCTCCCTTGTTCCCCTTCCGATTTGAACATTTTCTTCCCGTTTCTCAATATCTGTTAGTAAATGTGTAAATCATTTAAACAAAAATGTGTCCACTAAGTTACTCCTAATTAACTTTCACCCTGTTGCAGGGTAAACATCTTAAAGCCTAGCTTCTTAATGTCATCATACACATTTGTAATATTGATAATACATTTTTCCCTGTGAAAGCACACTTGTGCTTCAGTCAGTTACACATATAACAAATTAAATTCCTCCAAGACAACTCCATTTGCAGACTTCATTAAATTTCTTTAAACATTTTAAACCATATTTAAAAGTTTTAATAACTCCAAGATGTCAGACTTTCAACTTGGGCATATTCAGATCCAAAGAGTGAAGTATTGCTCAGTTCAAAGCAATTGAAAATGTTATAAAGGTAAATAAATCAAGTCCCCTTGAGCAATCTAAGCTGTTTACTACCAATTCCCTTACACCTCTGAAATTAAAGTCAGATGTCTAATTTCATTTACATGTTTCAGAGAAGAAACACAAAATGGGCTGGGGTAACAGCTCAGGTAGAGCATTTTCCCAACATTCGAGAGGCCCTGGGTTCAAGCCCCAGCACTGCATAAATAAAGCCCCATAGCTAATACATGCTGGATTCTTTCATGTGTTGGAGCACTTTAGTTCATAGATTGTTCTTATGGGTTCAAAACTGCTGGGCACAGGGGCTGGGGATGTAGCTCAGTGGTGCTGTGCCTGCCTGGTAAGGTTCTGCAAAAAAAAGAAAAAACAACCTGAGCACCACTAAAGTTTTAGGACTAAGAGTGATTTACTTACTTAATCATTTTATTATTGTTGTTTTCTGAGACAAGGTCTGGCTATGTAGCCCAGGCAGGCCTCGAACTAGTGATCCTGCCTCCGCCTTCCGAGTGCTGGGATTACAGGCGCACACCACTGTGCCCAGCTTAATCTATTGCTTAATAGATTTAAAGTCCCTTAATACTTTTGTTGTTGGCTTTGGGGGTCAAAGGTTCAGAATCCTGATGAGGACCACGTGGAGACCGTAAGCCACGACAGAAGATGCGGTGCTTGCCAGCCATGCCAGGCGCACACAAGGTGATCGCAGCACCCTCTCTGACGTCACCGCGCTGGCGCCAGGGTCTCTTTTGTCTCACGTGCATCACTCGCTCCCTACAAATTCTTCGTCTTTCACCTTCACCCACTTTCCGGCTTCCCTGAGCGGCTCCTTTAATAATAGACTGGGTGAATAGAATGCTCTGCCCAGACTCTGCCCAGACCCTGCCCAGACCCTGCCCAGACCCCAGTCGCGGTTCGCTGTTCCTGATCACTGGGTGAATTCACAGCATCTTCCCGGTCCGCGAGGACTGCGCGTTGGTGTTTCTCCGTCTGACCCCACGCCTGTCTAGGACCTTTGATGACAAGCAGTCTTTGAAAACAGCTCTCTCTTTCTGGCCTGTCAGTCCCTTAGTGAAGTGCTAGTGACCTGGCCAGACTCAGAAGGCGCTGTGTCACAGCTCAGAACTGTCCCTTGGGTGTAGGGCGAGTGCCCAGAGGGTGCAGTCACTTGGCTAATGAGTTAACAGTGGTCTGCCTTATCCCTAATTGAAGAAACTTTCAACATCAGTGCCTGGCAAGGGAAGTGCTGGAGTCTGCCTCCCACTTAACAGCTGGGTCCCCTTGGGCTGGGGGCCCTTGCTCCTGGGCTAGGTTGGTATCATCTTTGGTCTTTTAAGAGCTACTGCAGTTCATTAATTTTCACATTTTCTATTTTCTTATCCCTGAAATTCAGTTGCAGCTTACTTACAAGTAATCTCATTAACACCTTCTGGTAAGATTGAATTTGCAGAAGGGACACCCAGCAAGAATAGGTCTCCCCCCCCAAAATCCCCATGGTCATGGTGTGGCACTCAAGAAACACTGCATTATCGGGGCTATTGGTGGCACGGGACCATGATGTGGGAACAACAGTACTTAAAGCCCGACAAGGCATTCAGAAGAGTTGGGCTCTGCATGTTAGCAGTTTTCCTCATACTTTCCTTTTTGCCTGTGCACATTATAAAAATGTCCCAATAAGTTAAAATGAGGCCTTCCAATAAGTATGTAATGGACATAGATAAAGTATATGGTAAAATTGCAAATGAAAAGGCAGTGTTACAGTTTCATGGTATACTGTATACTGTATCTTGATCATGTACTCTGTAAATCTGATTGTATTTTAAATTCAGTGAAATATACCTCATGGAATGGATTGCTGTCAACTCCCCCAAATCTGGACTCAGTGTTTGATGGAAGAAGTAAAGAAAAATTGCCCTTTATAATTCAGCCTTCTAAGATCCAAAAGCAATACCAACTATCCACTCTTATCAGAATTACTCTAGGGCCAGGGATTTAGCTCAGTGGTTTCACCGCCTTCTTCGAAAGTGCAAGGACCCCAGTTCGATTCCCGGTACCAAAAAAAGAAGAAGAAGAAGAAGAAGAAGAAGAAGAAGAAGAATTTCTCTACTGTAGGCTAACTGCTCCCTCCTGGCATCTTCCATTTGCAGTTGTGCGCTCTTGCTTAGAAGTCCTCTCCCATCGAGCTCTCAGCCAACAACAGCAGAGGCCGGGTCAGTCTTACACCCAGGAGAGCTGGTCCTGGAGACAAACTGTCCACGAGATGCTTGTGAGCGCTTGTCAGAGCTCAGGAACCCCTGGCCCAGCCTGGTTTTATGAAGAAGAGACTGCTTGATTCACTGGTTTTGGTTTGTTTTTTGGGATTGTTTTTATTTGGGAGACAAGTACTGTCTCAACCTAGTGGGAACATTGGAGAAGGGGTGTGGACTGAACATCCGTCTAGAAGGTTGAGCAACGGAAAACATGGACACAGCCAGAATACTGGCTTATGACTGACAGCTTTCCTAGTCGGTCCTGTCTTGAAAGCATTTCCCCTGATGACTCACAGTCATGGTGCAGCCAATAAGGCAAAGGGCAGAACAAGGATCTAAAAAGATCTCAGGCAGTAATAATTACAGTGGCAATCGAGTAAGATTACATTGCATAGGGATAAATGGAAAACCCTGAAACTTAGTCTAAAGAAAACCCAGGTCCAAGGCTGGCACATGTGGGAGGATCATGTGGAATGGGACTGAGATGATTCTAAATGGAATGAGTTAGCTGGGCATGGTGGCACATGCCTGTAGTCCCAGCACTGGGGAGGCT